CTTGACGCCCGTGAGGGAGCGGCAGAGCCACTGGCAGACCCACTCTCAGATACAGCGGCGTGAAACCCCTTCCCGCCGCTCGGCGGCGCTGTGGCCATAAGATGGCGGACCGTGCGGCTGCGGGCGGGAAGGGTTACGTGCTGTGTTTCTTAGTACTTGTTTGAGAACCCTCCTGGAGTGCAGCGGGTTTCGGGATAGACCCTGGCAACGAGACAACCTCCGTTTGCCGGCAGCCGTGATTGTGTTTAGCATGCACGAAGATCTCTGGAAGTAGTGGATGTCTCCTCCCTCCCAAATTTCTCTTCCGTTATGGGCAAATGTGACACATTCCAATACATTCGTTTAATCCCTTCTTGTTTCCTCTTAACTCTGCAAAAGTAGGTACTCCAGGAGTTGTGCAGGGCTCAGTTCTTTGTTATTTAATGGCAATAGGGACTAAGTTACATCTGAGAAAAAGCCTCTCCGTAGTTTCCTGAAAGTCTCAGAGGTTAGTCATAGCACGGGTGTTATTTTACTGTGATCTAAGTGGTCATCCTGCTGCTATATCCGCAGCAGAGCAATGCTGGCTGGGTTCTGAGGCATGTAAGGTCAGGCAGGACTGTACTCTGAGCACCTGGTCTGGTGTAGGGGTCCCTGTTCATTGCAGGGGAGTTGGACCAGATGGCCTCATAGGGTCCCTTCTAGCTCAAACCATCCTATGGTTTTCCATGTCTTAGAATGCAGGCTACGTTTGTTGGGTTTCTGGCTTATGATGGCTGTTTTGTGTGAATTTCTGTTTCAGGTGTGCAAAAATGGCTTCGCTGAGTCTGAAGCAAGACAGTTTTTAAGTTCTGTGAATTTTGGCGGGAGTTCAGCAGACTTCAGCTATTCTGCACTGTATGCTGAGCTGAAAAGAGGACAGATTAGAGAAGCTCGCATAGTCTTTTGTTCATCTGATGGCTTTCTTGTTGCCAGGTAAGTTTATGATTGATTATTTAAATCAATTCTGTGGTGCAATTTTATCACAGGAAAACTTACGGTAATTTCATTATAAACAAAGATATTGGCTGACACGTTGCACAACAAAATCTGTACGTTTAATATGATTAGGCAGTCTGCCAGATCAAGTACTCCCATGAGATGCACATTTTATTATGTTCCCTCTGCTACCTGGCTTTTTTTGGTGGGTCTCCAAAGGAGCAACGGAGTAGAAGTTTTCTCACTTTCCCAGGATGTGATTCAACAGTGGCTGTGATGATTTTAGTATAGCAGTATTGTGGAAGGGCTTCCTTGAGGGAGCTGGGCTCGTTCAGCCTGGAGAAAAGAAGGCTGCAGGGTGACCCCACTGCAGCCTTTCAGTACCTAAAGGGAGCCTATAAACAAGAGGGGAGTCAACTCTTTGAAAGGGTGGATAACAACAGGAAAAGGGCAAATGGTTTTAAGTTGAAAGAGGGAAGATTTAAGTTGGATGTCAGGGGGAAGTTCTTTACAGAGAGAGTGGTGAGGTGCTGGACCAGGCTGCCCAGAGAAGTTGTGGATGCCCCATCCTTGGAGGTGTTCAGGGCCAGATTGGATGGGGCTCTGGGCAGCCTGTTGTAGTATTAAATTGATAGCTGCTGCCTGTGGCAGGTGGGTTGGAGATTCACGATCCTTGAGGTCCCTTCCAACTCAGGCCATTCTGTGATTCGGTGTGTGATTCTGTGAAAGGCACATGTGAATCTGTGCCATCTGATGGCTTACTGAAGAACATATGCTTTTTGGTGGCCCTCCTTTTCCCTCAAGTCTGCTGTTCCTTTCATAAAGATGGTGGCATAGATGAATTCTTCAGAGAAGAATGTAAGAGCAGATCTAATAAATGAATGGTAAGCTGACATAGTAAAGGGCTATTCTTTGTTTATTAGAAAAAAACTGGATTCTGTGAAGTCCTTCTGAATGTTTATGTTCTACTGTGAGTCTTGCTCAGAGATACTTTTTGTCCAGGATTTCTATATTGTGAAATCAAAACAAAATTGCAGACTTCTCTCATATTTCTTATTAACAATTGTTTGGAATTAACAGGCAGGTAATAAAGAGACCTAAGTCTTTTCATAGCTACTATATTGCTCACAAGCTGGTTGTCATGTGCTTTAACACTCAAATAAATTATTTCAGGTGGGACTCCAAGGTGGTAAATCTGAGCAGATACATTATTCATCATTACAAAATATAACTGAAAAGTCATTCTTAGTGATTAGTAATTTATACTGCTGAATTTTTAAATGGTGCATAGAAAAGGGAGAAGAAAATAATCTGGTCGTGCAATAGTTAAGCTACAAAAGTCCCGAATGGGGCAAAAGTATGAATGTCCAAGGAAGAACCTTGGACAGACAATACTGAGCTTAGACCCAAAGCCTTTGAATGTTTTTTGTGAAAAAGTTTTGTGCAAAGTTAATGGTTTCTTTGTGATTTGTTTGTATTCCAAAGATGACCAGGTAAGAAAAAAAAAAAAAAAAAGCGACAAATAAGTCTTGGTATGTTGTTTAGAATGAATGCCCATCGATTCATGAAATAATAAAGAGCAAAGTTTATCATAATGACTGGAAACCAAGGCAATAGTTGTTACCTTGCTTACTTCAAAGTGCATTCAAAGAAACCCTGTGGAATGAGCACTTCTTCCCTTAGTCTTTGTAAATTGTGAGCCTAGAGCCCTCTAGTGTTAGTGTTTGTATAATGCATATTATTGTTCACAGTAAGGTAGATCACTGTGAACTGCACATTATTCTGACCTGTGTCAGCAAAGGGCTACTAAGCCAATCGCCTAATTTTTTATTGACTTTAATATTTATTTATGAGAAAGCAACTGATCTCATTCATCCCAGTTTTTAGAAAGGAGTTATTTATTTACTTTGGAGCTATTACCCAATCTGTGTCAGTAGTATCCCTGAACAAAGATAGCTCTTATGCAAAGGAAAATTTAGGGAGCCTATAATACTAGTGGCACCTAATTTTTCGTCTACTCTATGTATCGTTTAATGCTGATCTGGGAGCTCCTGTAAGTCCTTCTAGTTCCTCTTTCGTGCACAAAGCATATTGTGACCTCTGTTCTCCTTCTCCTTAGTTGATAGTCCCCATTTTATCTTTCTCACCACTGGAACTGTATATGTGAGATTGTTCCTTCTTTCTTCAGGGCAGGGATTCTAGTGTGTCCTCAGCCACACTAGAACAGATTCTGCATGCCTCCATGGTTTACTTTTGCTTAGGGTTCCTCTCCTTGTATCCTTGCCTCGTTGCTTCTTCATGCCAGGACCAGGGTCTGTCCCTTCCTTTGCTTCTTTTTCTATTTTTAAAATTTTTATACTAGATGGACATTCGCTTTTCCCTTCTGCAGAATGAGCAGGAGAAAAATAATTTCCCGGTTTACCTGGGAGGAAAGTTCAGAGAATTTGTCACTCACCAAATTGGTCACAAATTCTTGAGTAGTGCTGCATGGGGAAGCTTAATGGATTTAGAGGAAAGGAGGAGTATGTGCAGTAAACCAGCTGAGCCTCACTGTGAAGCAGAAAAGTCCAAGAACTGGGAAGAGGAAGTTTTCTGAAAAGCCAAAAAGCAGAAAGTGAAGTGACAATTTGTCAGTAGAAAGCTGGAAGGACTTAAGGCAGATTTTTGCCAGCAGGAGGTAAGAAGTTACCAGTGATCCTCTGGGACAAATAAATGCTCACTTCTGACTGGGAGGTATATAAGTTGATCCTGTTCTTTAAAAGATGAGAAAAGCAGCCTTATCAGGCATCTGCATCTGCAGGAAGCCTATATTGTTACCCAAATGTTACAAGTCAGAAACAACTGTTACTGAGTTGTCCAAACTGCAAAGCTCATTATTATTATTATTATTTATTTATTTATTTACTATTGCCCCTACTGGCCCAGGAAGTCATTTAGTCATTTGTGAACTGTGTAAAAAATTGTCAATATACAAACTACACTCAAATCTGTGGTAGCTAGTTCAAAGTAAAGCTGCATGGTAACTTAGAATTTGTTGATTTGCAACAGTGCAATTTCAGGTTTGTTTGAGATTTATGTATGTTTCTGTAGGCATTAAGATATGAAACTAACTGGCTTAGGGGTTTTTGAATAGTTTGTCAGTCAGGTAAAGAACGTGTAGATTTATAAAGTATATATGGACCCAAAATGTTGTTGCTTACTGAAATCTCACTTACTGATGGCATCAAAAGGGATATACTTGGAACACTTTCAGAATGCTGCACCTTGGGATGAAAAACCCCAGGCACCAGGAGCTAGCCACCCAACTGAAAAGCAGCTCTGAAGTAAAGGATGTAGGTACCAAGTTGAACATGAGTCAGCAATGTGCCTTTATTGAAGGCAGCTAATATTCTTAGCTGCATTAGGCAACGTATTGCCAACAGGCCAAGAGAGGTTATCCCTCAATTCTGCCTTGGTGAGGCCACACTGAATGTTATGTCCAGTTCTGAGCCCTCTGCTACAGGAGAGACCTGGACATTCTTGAAATAGTGCAACACAGGGCCACCAAGATGCTGAAGGGCCTGGAGCAGCTCTCCTATGAGGAGAAGATGAGAGAGTTGTGACTATTCAGCCTGGAGAAGATGAGGCTCAAAGGGATCTCACCAATGTCCATAAATACCTGAATGGAAGTTGCAAAGAAAATGTAGCTAGGCTATTTTCAGTGATGCCCAGAACAAGAACAAGAGGAAATGGGCACAAACTGGAACACAAGAGATTCCCTCTAGTGGGAGATATTTCTGTGCTGTGCAAGTGCCTAAGCACACATTGCCCCGAGAGGTTGTGACTTCTCCTTCTTTGGAGATCTTCAAAAGCCACGTGGACGTAGTTCTGGATGTCCCTGCTCAAGCAGGGGGTTGGACTAGATGGACCCAGAAGTCCTTTCCCACTTCAACCATGCTGTGATTCTGTAGAGCTATTAAAACACAACTGTGGTAGAGCGGGAAGCAAATATTTTATAGGGCCAGCAGGGAGTGTTTCAGAGAAAAGACTGAGGAGACATACTGTAAAATGCTTACAATTTATTAATCATCATTACTTTTTTTCATAAAGAACAAAAATAAAATAATATTCCAAAACAAAATGGAAGAAGAAAATACACCACACCCAGATAATATGACTAAGACTAAAAAATGGGGTAATGTTAATTCTGAAAGAAATGGCCCAATAAATCAGTTCTCCAAAAAAACAAAATAAATAGCAATAGTACAACTTTTTAAAAGCTTTCTAGGAAAGAATTTACATATAATATTATTATTATTACTTTTGTTTACAAAAGTCCTTCATATGCCCCATTGGCAATATATATATATATATATATATATTTCTTCTGTAAACAGTTAACCACAAAGGAAAAAAAAATTCCAAATTTTCATACAGTTTCTATGCTGATGATGTTATGTAAACAAAGAGTAGTATGCAGCAGCTTATCATTTTAGTATCTTTCTCCCTCTCTTTCTTCTTTCTTCTTTTGTTTTCTTTCTTTTCTTTCTCATGAGAATAGATAGGGAAATGCCCTAAAAATTGTTTATAACATTGAATTTTATAGCTTTGAGAAGATCTGGCTTTTTGCAATCTAAGTTTTCCATAATGCAAAACAGAAAGTACAACAGAGGTACAGTTTTCTTTTTCTTGGACTTTAGCTTTTGATCTGTCTCAGTGAACTGAAATTGAAATGTTCCGTAATAGTTCAGTGTATCAAAGGAAATCTCAGATAATGTCAAGTAGTTGTCGAATGTAATGACCAGCAAAACTTGATTTCCTGCAGAGTAATATTTATTCTTTACCAGTGCAGTTTATATTGTGCCATGAAAGGAAAGCCTTGAAAACAATGTCATTCTAATAAAAGACTTTGTGTGGTCTAAATCTTATGGTTTAGCACTTCTCATAAGACAAACTAACAAGAAATATGAAAATTTTGTATATGTTTTGTATACAGTATATGATCTTATACTGTACCTCTCAAGGTGTAAAGAAAAGTCATGAAAAACAGTATGAGACACAATGGTAAGGAAAGCTGACATAGTGTAGACAGACGTATTGAGCTTGTATGCAGAAAATATAATCTGTTCGTAAAAAATTGTAGCTGCTTTTGACACTTTCTTTCAGATGTGTTTTCATCTATGTTCAACTCATTTGGCTTCTCTTTAGTTTTAATTTTAGACGTTCCCTTTTTCTTGCGTTCCCTTTTTCTTCTTTATCTCATATTTTGCCTGTTTGCTGTTGTTGGTTGGCAATGTCTTGTGGAACACACTCAGCACCAACACAGCTGCATTGGTCCACATAGGTGTATGAGTGATCAAGATAGGTTCCATCACTGCATGTCAAAGTCACCTTTCTTACACTAGTCTGGATTTCCTGGCAACATGAGCATTTATGTTCCATCATGTTTGCTTCTTGAGAGTACCTGTTTGCAAAACCAACAAAAGAGAGAGATTCAGAAATTATGTGAGAAATATCGCTGCCCTCTCACACATTTCTAAATATAAGTAGAAGTTATGTATGGAGATATGTCTTAATATTACCATTCTTCCAGTGGTTTGGTGACACAGAATTTGTTCTTCGTTGTAAAATGGGTAAACCTAGCTTTTGATTCTGATCTAGAATCACAGAATCACAGAATCACAGAATCACCCGGGTTGGAAGGGACCTCAAGGATCATGTAGTTCCAACCCCCCTGCCTAGCAGGGCCACCAAACGTACACATTTAGACCAGGTTGCCCAGGACCCCGTCCAACCTGGCCTTGAACACGTCCAAGGACGGGGCATCCACAACCTCCCTGGGAGGCCCGTTCAAGGGCCTAACCACTCTCCTTGTAAAGAAAGTGGAAGTAGAAGTGATCTAGTGGAAGACATCCCTTCTCATGGGAGGGGGTTTGGAACTGGATTATTTTAAAGGTTTCTTTCAACTCGAACCATTCTATAATTCTGTAATTCATTAAGACAAAAGAAAAGTGAAAAAAAACTAATCCAGATAACAAATCAAGCCAGTCCAAAATGAGAGACTGATATGAAACAAATAACCTCACTTTTATAGAGGCAAGATCAAAACTCGGGACCAGTCACTTAATAGTCTATTAAGATCTGGTTAGTTTTGAGATAATTAAGCTAATGTAGCACCATGTCTGTTAAAAATTCTGGTTAATGTAATGGGAACAGTTGATGGCTTGGTGAATGTTAGACATTGTAGAAAATCACTAGCAATGTGTTTTTTTCTGCTGTTATAATAACAAATAGAAGACTGGAGATTACAGTCATCTTTTACACCACTTACCTTGAGTAAGCATCACAGCTGCCTTCACAGTATGTCATCTCAACAGGTGCAGAAACACATCCTTGGTATTTGATGACAGTAGTGGTGTTATGCTTCTTGCAACCTGATGTTGCCACAAACCAAGAGAGAATAGTTAAAATATATGCATATATAGATAGATAGGTTAAAATATATGCATATATAGACAGATACTTGTATATGATAGACAATCCTTAGCTGAAAACTAAGATGCGTGGAGCTGAAATAGGAAGTTATGTCACAGTGCGTTTCTGTTTTAATTGCTTATGGCTAAATGATAGGCTGTGCTACTTGTCTTAACATTGAGTGGAAAATTCCCTTTATGCTGCATTGGTGCAGGATGCAGAAATATAGAGCAGTGCCATGGCAACTGCTCAGTGCACACCCATCTCCCAGGACCAGCTTCACTTTCATCCTTAAAGAGAATGTGTTTGTAGAAGTTGGAGAATAGGTGTAGTCCTCTATTTCACTAAAAGGCTAATATTGAACAGTACAGGATGGGAAAGTTCACCATATCTGTATTTTCAAAGACCCTAAATGTTCTGTTTCTATACCACCTGGTGGTTCTAAATGTTCTGTTTCAGACCAGGTGGTATGGAAACACTGGTACCAGATTTTGGGCTTTTCACCTCTTCTGTCCTTGTTCCTGCCATGCAAGTTGGACTAATACAGCTAACAAGGCACATATTGTGCTTTTACCCCAAATTACTATCACTTACCTGATGGTGGGATTGAGCACACACTACAGCAGCCATCATCTGATAGCCTGATGCTGTCCTGGAGTGGGAAAAAAAAAAAAAAAAAAAGATGACTCAGGTTTCATATATGCATGATAAAAACTTGGTTTGTAGGGTTCTCTGGTGCCAGAAAGTTCTTTGTATTGGCATGGAATCTAATTTCAAGCAGATCTAAATATTAAAGGCACGTAACTACTACTTCAGTACTTAATAAAACTTCTTTGGAAGCGTACATTGAAGGGACTGGAATTGCTTTGTTATCGTTGGAATTCAGTAGTAAAAATTCAGAAATAAAGCTTGCAGTGCACATTGGGATATTTTGAGGTACAAAAATCAGTGTAGATTAAGGGTTATGTCAGACAGTGTAAAACAGTTAATGAACTACTGACAGTATAGATATCTGGGATTGGTTTTTATCTTTCCTGAGGTGTATTAAGTGAACTGAAGTAGTTTGTTTTCCTTCACCTTTGCTCTTAATGATTGGTTTCCAAAAATGGAATTATAAGCCTAAATAATTTAGGAATAAAAATCCCATTATTTTCTGGTAATATTCTTGCTCCTAGACACCTGGTACTTTTAGGAATGCAAAGCATTATGTTTTTCCCTTCTCCCTAGTATCCTGTGCTATCTTATTTCCTCAGTGAGGATATATTGCCATTTTAAATTTTCATTTGTTTTTTTAAAGTGAAATTTGATGGGGTACAGTTTCAGAGAGGATAAAATCGGAGTTACATCCCATGTGATGCTCCTTGTAGGTATTTTTCTAGGATACCATGATCTTGCTATCGCTGGTGCTAATCACTGCAATCTTTTCAAACAAACATGAGAGCTGGTAGACAAGTACTTACAGGTTCACAGAGATCCGGGTTGAAGGCGGGACAGCTTTTCTTTGATATGACTGTAATGAACTGGCCATTGTATTTTTCACATGTGTAAGTTGTACAGTTATTACCAGGTGGGCTCCAGAATTTTCCAACCTGAAAGTAGTTAAATTAAATAAAGGTGAATAAAAGGCATCTTGCCTGAAAGTGAGAACACACAACTGGTGTTCATCATTGCTGTGCACTGCAGTATGCTTATTCTGAATAATGTCCTTGAATGGCAGCTGGTAGTTGCTCATTGACCTTTTTCATTAACCAAGTGAAGAGGATGTGATTTTAGGTGGCTATGGTCATGGTTTTTGTGTGCATGGCTTAAGTGAAGGCTGACTTGTGTTTCAGTGGTTTTGTTGTCAGAATTTATGATGTGCCCTAGTCCTGTTCAGGTACATGGCAGAATTCCAGGTGTTTTCACCAACGCATCCTGTTCTTGAGCTCCCAGCTAACTTGAGATTGAATATTCGGTGCAGAAGCTGCCTCCATACATAGAAAGACAAAACTGAGCAAAATTGGTGCAATGTTTTCTTGCTGAAGGCAAATAAGATGGCATTGCTTTCACATATTTTTCTATTTAGACCTCTGAAAGCCATTGTTCAATATCACAGTTGTTTCCAGAAGCTTCAGTTAGCCTCATGGCTCAAGGTTCTGTTCAAGCTATGTGAGTCAGTCCTTCCTCATCTGTATAAGCAGTATTGTAATATGTGAAAAGACACTGCAAGTAAATGTGATAGAGGCAAGGAAAGGAAAGAGTTAAAAGGCAAACAGAGTTCACCAAAGGTGAGCTGCAGCAGGGCTAGTTACCTTAAGCACGTGTGTAGTGTTGTCTTCCATGACCACTATGCAGGCTTCAGCCTTGCATGTGCCACAGCACTTTCCAGGTTCCTCTGTATACTTGTAACCCTATTTTGAAAGAAACAGAGAGGGAATATTGTTGAGCCAGGACACTGAGATTAAGTGGCAGATGTTTGAACTGAGCAAGGTAGGCATTACTGACCATAAATAAGCACTCACCACTGGACAATAGGTGTCACAGGTAACAGGCTGGCACTTGACAGCAAACTTCTGATGGCTTGAATAAGAGGATATGGAGCAGCTGCAGCTTTCACAGGGGCCTGATGGAATCACAGTTCCAGGCTAGGGAAAGACAGAAGAAAAATCGGTATTAGTAATAGCAAGTTGCTGTGAGTATGTACCTAACAGACAATTCAAGGCTGAACTATCTATCAGCTAAACTATCCTTAAATTCAATATTGGTTGTTTAAGCAGAGTTTCTATTGTTGGTTATGTCCATGCTGCTTCTCATTTTGAAAGGAAATTATGCTAATGTTACAGGTGAGCAGATAATACTGTTGCATATAAGAAAAGGTGCTGATATGCTGACCTCAATTAGTCTCTTGGTCCTTTTTGCAAAATGGCATCTATAATAGGAGTCTCAAAAATGTTTCATTTTGAACCTATGTGAAGTTGTATTTTTATAGTGACTTACTCTGTGTACTTACCGCATAGTAGGTTTCATTGACTACACAGCCATGTCCTGGAAAGAAGGAAGAAAGATAGTGTCACCAAGGTATAAAATTTAAGAAGCTGAAGTATGTGAAGAAACTCCTACTTTTTTGGCCCAATGTGACAATGTTGATTAATTACATCTTTTTCTTTTAAGGATTTTGTATTCATAGCTCTGACTAGCATGTTGAAAAAGTTGCATGGCACTTACTGCATTCAAAGGTAGGGCAGCATTTTCCAGGCTGTGTTACTGTAATTACTTCCTGTCCCTCTAAGCATTGTTGTGTGACCTCAGGGCAGAGGCTCGTATTGCAGTCTGTGCAATGTAAAAGAAGACAGCAAATTATGAATTTTTAAATTTTGTTTGGCATGAACTTCAGAAGTTTTCCAGTGAGGCAAATACAGTGTTTTAAGTAAAAACAAGTTAGTTTAATAGCTATTTCAGTATATTTGCCCGTCTAATTTTGAAGTGAAAGAGCTTTTCTAACCTTTGCAAAGCAAAGCATTGGCTGAAAAGAATAGAGTAATGATTGCTTGAAAGGACAGATTTCCGAAGATAAAATAATCAGAAAATCTGATGGCTCTCTGAGTTTCAGACGGTCTTTTGAACAATTCTTAAAAGTTCAAGAGATGTATTAAGATTAGATAAAATATTTATGCTGGTCTTTGAAAAATAAGAGATACTGAATAGCTTTTGATTGTTGTTTCAGGTGGTGGCAGTGCTACAGGTTTTCTTTTTTTTTCCTTTCAAACATTAAATTACAAATTTACAGCTACTTTCCTTTGTCTATGAGTGTAAAATTGATTCATCTTTAAATTTGTTCTTTTCAAGAATCTAGTAGATGCTTTGCAGCAAGGCTTTAAAAAGCTGTATGAGGGAGAAAAGTTACAAGATCAATGTAAACTATATATTAAAAAAAAAAAACACAAACAAGAGAAATTACTGCTGTAGATCCCCAAAACAAGTATAGTACATTACTCACAATAAAGAACTGAGACAGTACTTACAGCACTCAGTCCTGGTACAGCATGGATCTTCTGGTATCTGCGTCTGAACAGGCATGTATCCTGGTTCAGAACAAGATACTTGCTGTGGCAGAGGACATTCGTATTTTGTGCAATGCACTCTGAGAGTAGATCTGTCACAGACACATTCCTGGCAATTTTTTGTCCATTTTTCTCCTGGCTATACAAAAAGAAAATGAAAAATAAATAAAATAAACAATTTTTTTTAACTTCTAAATGTTTTATTCATAAATACAGTTATTGCTAACTAGCTAATTACATCAACCTTTTCGTGGTCCTAGTATTTTTAGATTTGTTAAGAAACCCTTAAAGTGAAACAAACTAGGAGAAGATGCTAGAGACCACTGAAGGTTCTGAGGATGTTGGTTTGCTCTTGTGAAACACCAAACAACAAATGTCCTCTTGCTTCAGCTGCTTGTATTTGATAAATTACATTGATGTAATTTTGATAGCGATACTCACCCATCTGAATACTCCATTTGGCTCTCTACAAGCTGAAAAAAAAAAAAAAAAAAAGGGGGATTTATACCACTGACTACTGACAGAAGGAGTAAGTTTGTGCAGTTTGAAATAAAAACACCATGAACATAAATCTAGCCAGACTAGTTCATATGAAATGATAGATTTCTTCCATTTTGCCTAGTCTCATGTAAGTAAGGAAGATGGGGAAAAACTATTGTTTTTTATTATTATATTTTTAGAGACTAAAGGAGCCTAAAAAAGTTGATCTGCCCATGATCTGACTATGTAAAAGATTACAAGTCTCCTGCCATTGTTAATCGGGTCTCCTCTTTAACAATCCAGATCTCCATTCCCCAAAGTAGTTATAGAGTACTTACAGCATTCAGAGACACAAATGTTGCTGTCTTCACTCAAGAGTGTCTTTCCTTCAGGACAGAAACAACCTTCAGTTACTCCATAGCCAGGACGGTCAACAAAGCTGGAGTGAGAGGAACATATATATATGTATGTGTTTTTGAGTGCCATGTTTTTGCCAGTGAAGCTGGAGAGAGGTGTGTAAAGAAGGTTGTTGTGTCAGATACAAGGGAGACGAATGAATTTGCATTTTGCTGAATGGAACTGGAAGTACATATTTATAGCAATGACTGATATCTATGAATTTTGAATAAACAATGAAAATTCATGAAATTTAATTATGAAATAGTTATATTTTGTAAGGAAAGTAGTTAGAAACAGAAGGAAAAAAAAAGATAAACATTTGTTTGGTCTTTCCATACCTTTGGCTGCAGGTAGCAGAATTAATGGACTCACATGGCTTGTATACCATGTTTGCTGGACAGTTGTATGCTGTATGACAAAAGATGAAAAATGATCAAAAACTGATAGTAGATATTGTGATATATCTACTAGATATAAAGAAAAGTGACTTTATCTTTACTGTCTACATCAGGGGTTTCTGACAGTAAGGACATTTCTGTATTTTTGTAGGTAAAATGCTATAGTCAAGTGTAAGATGCAACATATACTTACTCAATAAAATCCTAACTACTACTGGTTTACTCGTACATTTTTGAGTCCTGCAATACTTACGGCACGTATTGTTTGTCTTTCCTCTCCAGTCAATGCAGACACCTCTTGCAGCACACTCTGTAGCATATATCTCCAAACTGGAACACTGCATGGATTCATCAGTTATGCGACATCCATCAAAAACACATCCTTTGTAAAATGGTTCTGGAGGTATCACGTCATGGCATTCTGCAAAAACTCTACAGACAGAAAAGAAACCAGAAGAAACTGGTTATTATATAAAATCTGATCACACGTGGCATTTTCCCAGTTGATGGCGTGTTACTCTCTGCTTCAAAAGGAATGTATTATGAGAAAGAGAGTTAACCATATGAATGGCCACTACTGTGGGAGATAGATTCAGGAATGGAAAGATTAGGAAATTGAAGCTCTATTCTTTTCTAAAGAGGCTTGTGGGTATAATATTTATGTAAGTGTACACAGTGTTTTATCAGTCTGACACTAGAAATTTCTTGAAGAAGGCAATTGCATCAGATAGATGGAAAAAGAATGCTGTAAGTACTCAAGGAACAGAAAAATCGGATAGAATAGCTTGCAACTTATTAGACATTACAGCAAGCATGCAGATGAGGGTCTGTATGAATGACACAGCTAAAAAAAACTTTTGCTAGAGTTCACAGAAGTATAAAAAACAGCCTTTGATGATGCTGCTTTTTTTTTTTTAAATTCCATGTTTTACATAAAATGTGCAAAGAGTGAAGGCACTTTGGCTAAGACATTTCTGTCTGTTCTGTTTTTCTGGTTGGTAACCAAATTATTTCCCTTCAGGACTAAGGGACCACTTCACATGTAAATTTTCATCTTTCTTTTAATAGCGTGACTAAGAATGAGTAAGCATACCCTAGAAAGCAGGGAGGGAAAAAGATAACAGAAATGTATGTGGTAACAATCCAGGGTGTATGGACTTTAGTGCTTGCTGTCTCCTTCATTTTCTAATTCTTGCTCAGCTATCTTTGCGATGCAAGTCCTTAAAGAAAAGCAGTTTCTTTATCAAAGGCCTTTTATTGTATATATCCTTATATTAGGTTGATGTTTTCAGCAATAATCCCATGATAGGACTGTAGTTCATACCATTTCATAAAATACTGAAACATTTCAGTATAGAAAGAGCAAGTCAATTTTGGTTGTTTGTTTCTTTTTCTTACTTGCTTATGATAAGCTTGCAGAGTTCAGGAACATGACACTGTGGCCTTGCAGGAGGTGTGGTTACTATTGATGGTGGTGGTACTCCAGTGCATGATGTGTCATTACCAACAAGCCAGTGATGAGCCATTTGGGGACAGGAAGAAATGATCTTACCACTTGGCAAGCGACATTCATCTCTTTTGTTATTTGTACATGTTCCTGGAAGATAACAGAGACAAGGTATGTTAGCTTCATATGCCACATCGGTGATGCACAGTACATTAGTGTGCTGATACTAAGTTTAGATGTGATGTGCTCATGAAATTCTCTACTTCACGAGGATTCTTTACAGTCGTATGAGTTTTAATTTAGTTTAGGAAAAAAGCAGTCAAAATCCAAAACCCAAATCTGACATCAGAAAACACTTCAAAATGTATATGCCTATCATGATCTTGCATAGCCAAAGTGGGTAACTATAGCTATGGAGGATGGGCAAAATATGATTAGTACATCTGTCTTACCACATTGTCCTTCAGTATTGTTGCCAAATTTGCTGTATGGGAGTTTCACAGAAAAGATCAGCCCACTGAAGGTGATGGTTGCGCCAATTTCTGGTATTTCTACAATCATATTGATTCCAAGTGTGGAGAAATAAATGCCATCTTTGTGAAAGCCTGGTTGGACAATCTTATTGTTGAAGTACATCTGAACGCAGAGTTTAAAAAAAACAAAACAAAACAAAACACAACTTCAGAATAAACTTCTGCTTTTGTCTGATTGTTTTAATGTATTAAATGATAATGTATTTTCTAATCTTTGTAATCATGCGTAACTTGGTATTGTTGTGCATCATATCCAACTCCTGTTTATATTGTTGTAACTACATACAATTCTCACCTTTATAATCTGATATTCTAACAAACTGTATTTCAAGTGAGAAACTGTAAGGCCTGTGGACCTTATTTCTCTTTTTCAGTAACAGAGAAGTAAAAATAAATTTATTTTACCACATTTGTCATCACACCATTCAGGAGTTCACGGGTCAGCTTCACTGTTGCAGATTTGTAGAAAATAATAATGGATTTAGGACAGGAAAGTCCATCTTTTGAATCACAGTAGTAATTCTCAATGTGAACACGGAAGTTGTCATATTTAGGCACAATCTGTTTCACCAGAACATAAGTGCAATTTTCAAGGAAAGTATAGTAGGTTCCATCAAAAGTAATATAATGAGGATCACCCCATCCACTGCAGACACCTGGCATAGAGAAAATATTTGTGTTAACATGAAAGTAAATATAGAAGAACATACTACAGTTTCAAATGCAACCTTGGGAAAACATAATTCCCTTATATTCTTGCAAACTTTTGCTTATTTTTGAAAATTTAAGTCCTTAATCTACACTTACATTGACACTCATAGTGGTAACAGCATCCATTTTCATCAGGTACCAATACTGCTGGATATTTGTTTGCACAGGTAATTTCCTTTATAGGTGGACATACTGTTTGGTTTACAATAACTTTGTTGTTTCCCTCACAGATGAGTTCTGTACAGTTGGATAATTTGAATCTCTGGCCAGGCTGCAAAATGAACAAAAATTGCTGTCACAGAAATTTGCAGACAGGTATGAATTTTACTAATATTGTTATGAGATGTAACCCTCTATACTAGCTTTGATTTTTCTGCTCAGTGAAGAATCAAAAAGCAATAGAAAACGTGCTTTTTTATTTCATTGAGAAGGTTTGTTACGTATACTATGCTGTGCATTAAAAAGCATGTTTAACTAGCTGCAAAATGATAACAAAAAATTATTGTACTTTTCTTTCTTAGTTTACAAAAAAAAAAAAAAGGAAAAAAAGGGAAAAAGATGCATAGAAATTTTATGCCATATATTGACTGGTAATAAGAGTTATTCTGACAACCAAAATATATAAGATTGGCAACTGTTTCTTTCTTACACCTTTCTGGTATAAAACTAACACTGATGTTATTTAAAAAATCATAACATGGAATCTATGTACCTGTAGGGGAGGGTGAGTACCAGAAACACAACCCGGAGGAAGAATTGGATGTGTTGTTATTATGGTAGGCGTCTGAGGAGATGCAGTGGTTAATGGAGTAGTAAAATTACAGTCTCCAGTGTAGCGTTCAACTGTACATTTTTCACTACACCTAGCATAAAATCTACATCCATCACTATCCATTGTGCTGTAAATCAGTCCACCTGAAAAACGGGAAAAAACACAGTCAAATAAAGAGAAAAAATGAAAATTCTTCAAAATTGATCAACGCATTACATTTTGAAGTGTCCTGGTATAAACTGGTGTGGTAGAGAATTTTTTTTAAAAATAAAATGCTATGTTTCAGTCTTTCAGATTTAGGATGAAAATACTGTTGATGCTGAGCAGTACTTATACTAAGTTAATAATTCCTCAGCATTCTCCACTGCCCTGCCAATGAGAAGACCAGGGTTGCAGAAGAAATTATGAAATGATAAAACCAGACAGGCTGGTACCAACTAAGCAAAGGGATGTTTAATGCTGTATGACATCATACAGAACCATGAAAATAGGAAGAAATGGGGAAAAATGCAGCTGTTGCCAAGGGTCAGGACATAGGACCTTATCAGGTGGTGATGAAAAATTTGATGGGGTATCAGTTGTTTAATTTATGATATTAGTCACAGAATATCTATTCAGTACCTAATCATAACTAACAAACACTGCTCGAAACTAAAGATCAGGCGTTTATATCTGGGATTTCCACAATAGCTCTGAAGTGGAGAAAGATACTGAAAGACTGTGTAATAGTCATCAGTATGTCACATTAATAGAAAACAGAAAGAAACAAATGCTGAAATTACAACAACAAAAGTCAAAATAAATACAAAGAACAATAATTTAAATACTACAAATGAGAAGATATATTGAAACTGAAAAAATTACCAGGACCCACCAGGTGAATAAATGTTGTTTCCAATTTTACAGAAACATGATGTTGATATAGAAGTACTGGTGCTGAAACTGGTGGAAAATGTGGAAGATGGGACAGTGGTGAAGGACGTAGGGGAGGAGGTGCCTGTGGAGATGGAGGTGGTGGGACTGGTGGTAGGAGTGATGGTGTATACGCAGTTGGGGTTAGACCGGCAGCAGAGGACACGGATCCTGTAGTTGAGGCACATCTTAAAGCTGCCCTGCTGGTCCTGGTTCCTGCACACCAGTCCGTAGTGAACGTCACACTGCACAACCTGTCCGACTTGTTCGATGGAAATGTCGGGGTAGTCCTCGGCCTGGCACTCAATTTGTTTTGGCTGCTGACAGACTTCCTTCCCGGCAGCGCGGATGTGCTGGTAGGTTTCGAAGTCTCCCTGGCTTGTCCCCGAGGAGGGGAAGTCAACGTCAAACCAGTCCGTCCAGGAGCAGAGTTCAGGTTCGCAGGAGGTGGTGTGTTGCGTGGTGGAGGGGGAGCTGGTAGAGGAGATGAGAGTAGGGGTGGGCGAGAGGGTGCTGGTGCTGGTTGTTGGTGTTGTTGCCATTGTGGAGGGCGTAGCGGTGGAGGTGGAGGTTGTGACGGTGATGAAGGACGTAGGGGAGGAGGTGCCTGTGGAGATGGAGGTGGTGGGACTGGTGGTAGGAGTGATGGTGTATACGCAGTTGGGGTTAGACCGGCAGCAGAGGACACGGATCCTGTAGTTGAGGCACATCTTAAAGCTGCCCTGCTGGTCCTGGTTCCTGCACACCAGTCCGTAGTGAACGTCACACTGCACAACCTGTCCGACTTGTTCGATGGAAATGTCGGGGTAGTCCTCGGCCTGGCACTCAATTTGTTTTGGCTGCTGACAGACTTCCTTCCCGGCAGCGCGGATGTGCTGGTAGGTTTCGAAGTCTCCCTGGCTTGTCCCCGAGGAGGGGAAGTCAACGTCAAACCAGTCCGTCCAGGAGCAGAGTTCAGGTTCGCAGGAGGTGGTGTGTTGCGTGGTGGAGGGGGAGCTGGTAGAGGAGATGAGAGTAGGGGTGGGCGAGAGGGTGCTGGTGCTGGTTGTTGGTGTTGTTGCCGTTATGGAGGGCGTAGCGGTGGAGGTGGAGGTTGTGACGGTGATGAAGGACGTAGGGGAGGAGGTGCCTGTGGAGATGGAGGTGGTGGGACTGGTGGTAGGAGTGATGGTGTATACGCAGTTGGGGTTAGACCGGCAGCAGAGGACACGGATCCTGTAGTTGAGGCACATCTTAAAGCTGCCCTGCTGGTCCTGGTTCCTGCACACCAGTCCGTAGTGAACGTCACACTGCACAACCTGTCCGACTTGTTCGATGGAAATGTCGGGGTAGTCCTCGGCCTGGCACTCAATTTGTTTTGGCTGCTGACAGACTTCCTTCCCGGCAGCGCGGATGTGCTGGTAGGTTTCGAAGTCTCCCTGGCTTGTCCCCGAGGAGGGGAAGTCAACGTCAAACCAGTCCGTCCAGGAGCAGAGTTCAGGTTCGCAGGAGGTGGTGTGTTGCGTGGTGGAGGGGGAGCTGGTAGAGGAGATGAGAGTAGGGGTGGGCGAGAGGGTGCTGGTGCTGGTTGTTGGTGTTGTTGCCGTTGTGGAGGGCGTAGCGGTGGAGGTGGAGGTTGTGACGGTGATGAAGGACGTAGGGGAGGAGGTGCCTGTGGAGATGGAGGTGGTGGGACTGGTGGTAGGAGTGATGGTGTATACGCAGTTGGGGTTAGACCGGCAGCAGAGGACACGGATCCTGTAGTTGAGGCACATCTTAAAGCTGCCCTGCTGGTCCTGGTTCCTGCACACCAGTCCGTAGTGAACGTCACACTGCACAACCTGTCCGACTTGTTCGATGGAAATGTCGGGGTAGTCCTCGGCCTGGCACTCAATTTGTTTTGGCTGCTGACAGACTTCCTTCCCGGCAGCGCGGATGTGCTGGTAGGTTTCGAAGTCTCCCTGGCTTGTCCCCGAGGAGGGGAAGTCAACGTCAAACCAGTCCGTCCAGGAGCAGAGTTCAGGTTCGCAGGAGGTGGTGTGTTGCGTGGTGGAGGGGGAGCTGGTAGAGGAGATGAGAGTAGGGGTGGGCGAGAGGGTGCTGGTGCTGGTTGTTGGTGTTGTTGCCGTTGTGGAAGGCGTAGCGGTGGAGGTGGAGGTTGTGACGGTGATGAAGGACGTAGGGGAGGAGGTGCCTGTGGAGATGGAGGTGGTGGGACTGGTGGTAGGAGTGATGGTGTATACGCAGTTGGGGTTAGACCGGCAGCAGAGGACACGGATCCTGTAGTTGAGGCACATCTTAAAGCTGCCCTGCTGGTCCTGGTTCCTGCACACCAGTCCGTAGTGAACGTCACACTGCACAACCTGTCCGACTTGTTCGATGGAAATGTCGGGGTAGTCCTCGGCCTGGCACTCAATTTGTTTTGGCTGCTGACAGACTTCCTTCCCGGCAGCGCGGATGTGCTGGTAGGTTTCGAAGTCTCCCTGGCTTGTCCCCGAGGAGGGGAAGTCAACGTCAAACCAGTCCGTCCAGGAGCAGAGTTCAGGTTCGCAGGAGGTGGTGTGTTGCGTGGTGGAGGGGGAGCTGGTAGAGGAGATGAGAGTAGGGGTGGGCGAGAGGGTGCTGGTGCTGGTTGTTGGTGTTGTTGCCATTGTGGAGGGCGTAGCGGTGGAGGTGGAGGTTGTGACGGTGATGAAGGACGTAGGGGAGGAGGTGCCTGTGGAGATGGAGGTGGTGGGACTGGTGGTAGGAGTGATGGTGTATACGCAGTTGGGGTTAGACCGGCAGCAGAGGACACGGATCCTGTAGTTGAGGCACATCTTAAAGCTGCCCTGCTGGTCCTGGTTCCTGCACACCAGTCCGTAGTGAACGTCACACTGCACAACCTGTCCGACTTGTTCGATGGAAATGTCGGGGTAGTCCTCGGCCTGGCACTCAATTTGTTTTGGCTGCTGACAGACTTCCTTCCCGGCAGCGCGGATGTGCTGGTAGGTTTCGAAGTCTCCCTGGCTTGTCCCCGAGGAGGGGAAGTCAACGTCAAACCAGTCCGTCCAGGAGCAGAGTTCAGGTTCGCAGGAGGTGGTGTGTTGCGTGGTGGAGGGGGAGCTGGTAGAGGAGATGAGAGTAGGGGTGGGCGAGAGGGTGCTGGTGCTGGTTGTTGGTGTTGTTGCCGTTATGGAGGGCGTAGCGGTGGAGGTGGAGGTTGTGACGGTGATGAAGGACGTAGGGGAGGAGGTGCCTGTGGAGATGGAGGTGGTGGGACTGGTGGTAGGAGTGATGGTGTATACGCAGTTGGGGTTAGACCGGCAGCAGAGGACACGGATCCTGTAGTTGAGGCACATCTTAAAGCTGCCCTGCTGGTCCTGGTTCCTGCACACCAGTCCGTAGTGAACGTCACACTGCACAACCTGTCCGACTTGTTCGATGGAAATGTCGGGGTAGTCCTCGGCCTGGCACTCAATTTGTTTTGGCTGCTGACAGACTTCCTTCCCGGCAGCGCGGATGTGCTGGTAGGTTTCGAAGTCTCCCTGGCTTGTCCCCGAGGAGGGGAAGTCAACGTCAAACCAGTCCGTCCAGGAGCAGAGTTCAGGTTCGCAGGAGGTGGTGTGTTGCGTGGTGGAGGGGGAGCTGGTAGAGGAGATGAGAGTAGGGGTGGGCGAGAGGGTGCTGGTGCTGGTTGTTGGTGTTGTTGCCGTTGTGGAGGGCGTAGCGGTGGAGGTGGAGGTTGTGACGGTGATGAAGGACGTAGGGGAGGAGGTGCCTGTGGAGATGGAGGTGGTGGGACTGGTGGTAGGAGTGATGGTGTATACGCAGTTGGGGTTAGACCGGCAGCAGAGGACACGGATCCTGTAGTTGAGGCACATCTTAAAGCTGCCCTGCTGGTCCTGGTTCCTGCACACCAGTCCGTAGTGAACGTCACACTGCACAACCTGTCCGACTTGTTCGATGGAAATGTCGGGGTAGTCCTCGGCCTGGCACTCAATTTGTTTTGGCTGCTGACAGACTTCCTTCCCGGCAGCGCGGATGTGCTGGTAGGTTTCGAAGTCTCCCTGGCTTGTCCCCGAGGAGGGGAAGTCAACGTCAAACCAGTCCGTCCAGGAGCAGAGTTCAGGTTCGCAGGAGGTGGTGTGTTGCGTGGTGGAGGGGGAGCTGGTAGAGGAGATGAGAGTAGGGGTGGGCGAGAGGGTGCTGGTGCTGGTTGTTGGTGTTGTTGCCGTTATGGAGGGCGTAGCGGTGGAGGTGGAGGTTGTGACGGTGATGAAGGACGTAGGGGAGGAGGTGCCTGTGGAGATGGAGGTGGTGGGACTGGTGGTAGGAGTGATGGTGTATACGCAGTTGGGGTTAGACCGGCAGCAGAGGACACGGATCCTGTAGTTGAGGCACATCTTAAAGCTGCCCTGCTGGTCCTGGTTCCTGCACACCAGTCCGTAGTGAACGTCACACTGCACAACCTGTCCGACTTGTTCGATGGAAATGTCGGGGTAGTCCTCGGCCTGGCACTCAATTTGTTTTGGCTGCTGACAGACTTCCTTCCCGGCAGCGCGGATGTGCTGGTAGGTTTCGAAGTCTCCCTGGCTTGTCCCCGAGGAGGGGAAGTCAACGTCAAACCAGTCCGTCCAGGAGCAGAGTTCAGGTTCGCAGGAGGTGGTGTGTTGCGTGGTGGAGGGGGAGCTGGTAGAGGAGATGAGAGTAGGGGTGGGCGAGAGGGTGCTGGTGCTGGTTGTTGGTGTTGTTGCCGTTATGGAGGGCGTAGCGGTGGAGGTGGAGGTTGTGACGGTGATGAAGGACGTAGGGGAGGAGGTGCCTGTGGAGATGGAGGTGGTGGGACTGGTGGTAGGAGTGATGGTGTATACGCAGTTGGGGTTAGACCGGCAGCAGAGGACACGGATCCTGTAGTTGAGGCACATCTTAAAGCTGCCCTGCTGGTCCTGGTTCCTGCACACCAGTCCGTAGTGAACGTCACACTGCACAACCTGTCCGACTTGTTCGATGGAAATGTCGGGGTAGTCCTCGGCCTGGCACTCAATTTGTTTTGGCTGCTGACAGACTTCCTTCCCGGCAGCGCGGATGTGCTGGTAGGTTTCGAAGTCTCCCTGGCTTGTCCCCGAGGAGGGGAAGTCAACGTCAAACCAGTCCGTCCAGGAGCAGAGTTCAGGTTCGCAGGAGGTGGTGTGTTGCGTGGTGGAGGGGGAGCTGGTAGAGGAGATGAGAGTAGGGGTGGGCGAGAGGGTGCTGGTGCTGGTTGTTGGTGTTGTTGCCGTTGTGGAGGGCGTAGCGGTGGAGGTGGAGGTTGTGACGGTGATGAAGGACGTAGGGGAGGAGGTGCCTGTGGAGATGGAGGTGGTGGGACTGGTGGTAGGAGTGATGGTGTATACGCAGTTGGGGTTAGACCGGCAGCAGAGGACACGGATCCTGTAGTTGAGGCACATCTTAAAGCTGCCCTGCTGGTCCTGGTTCCTGCACACCAGTCCGTAGTGAACGTCACACTGCACAACCTGTCCGACTTGTTCGATGGAAATGTCGGGGTAGTCCTCGGCCTGGCACTCAATTTGTTTTGGCTGCTGACAGACTTCCTTCCCGGCAGCGCGGATGTGCTGGTAGGTTTCGAAGTCTCCCTGGCTTGTCCCCGAGGAGGGGAAGTCAACGTCAAACCAGTCCGTCCAGGAGCAGAGTTCAGGTTCGCAGGAGGTGGTGTGTTGCGTGGTGGAGGGGGAGCTGGTAGAGGAGATGAGAGTAGGGGTGGGCGAGAGGGTGCTGGTGCTGGTTGTTGGTGTTGTTGCCGTTGTGGAAGGCGTAGCGGTGGAGGTGGAGGTTGTGACGGTGATGAAGGACGTAGGGGAGGAGGTGCCTGTGGAGATGGAGGTGGTGGGACTGGTGGTAGGAGTGATGGTGTATACGCAGTTGGGGTTAGACCGGCAGCAGAGGACACGGATCCTGTAGTTGAGGCACATCTTAAAGCTGCCCTGCTGGTCCTGGTTCCTGCACACCAGTCCGTAGTGAACGTCACACTGCACAACCTGTCCGACTTGTTCGATGGAAATGTCGGGGTAGTCCTCGGCCTGGCACTCAATTTGTTTTGGCTGCTGACAGACTTCCTTCCCGGCAGCGCGGATGTGCTGGTAGGTTTCGAAGTCTCCCTGGCTTGTCCCCGAGGAGGGGAAGTCAACGTCAAACCAGTCCGTCCAGGAGCAGAGTTCAGGTTCGCAGGAGGTGGTGTGTTGCGTGGTGGAGGGGGAGCTGGTAGAGGAGATGAGAGTAGGGGTGGGCGAGAGGGTGCTGGTGCTGGTTGTTGGTGTTGTTGCCATTGTGGAGGGCGTAGCGGTGGAGGTGGAGGTTGTGACGGTGATGAAGGACGTAGGGGAGGAGGTGCCTGTGGAGATGGAGGTGGTGGGACTGGTGGTAGGAGTGATGGTGTATACGCAGTTGGGGTTAGACCGGCAGCAGAGGACACGGATCCTGTAGTTGAGGCACATCTTAAAGCTGCCCTGCTGGTCCTGGTTCCTGCACACCAGTCCGTAGTGAACGTCACACTGCACAACCTGTCCGACTTGTTCGATGGAAATGTCGGGGTAGTCCTCGGCCTGGCACTCAATTTGTTTTGGCTGCTGACAGACTTCCTTCCCGGCAGCGCGGATGTGCTGGTAGGTTTCGAAGTCTCCCTGGCTTGTCCCCGAGGAGGGGAAGTCAACGTCAAACCAGTCCGTCCAGGAGCAGAGTTCAGGTTCGCAGGAGGTGGTGTGTTGCGTGGTGGAGGGGGAGCTGGTAGAGGAGATGAGAGTAGGGGTGGGCGAGAGGGTGCTGGTGCTGGTTGTTGGTGTTGTTGCCGTTATGGAGGGCGTAGCGGTGGAGGTGGAGGTTGTGACGGTGATGAAGGACGTAGGGGAGGAGGTGCCTGTGGAGATGGAGGTGGTGGGACTGGTGGTAGGAGTGATGGTGTATACGCAGTTGGGGTTAGACCGGCAGCAGAGGACACGGATCCTGTAGTTGAGGCACATCTTAAAGCTGCCCTGCTGGTCCTGGTTCCTGCACACCAGTCCGTAGTGAACGTCACACTGCACAACCTGTCCGACTTGTTCGATGGAAATGTCGGGGTAGTCCTCGGCCTGGCACTCAATTTGTTTTGGCTGCTGACAGACTTCCTTCCCGGCAGCGCGGATGTGCTGGTAGGTTTCGAAGTCTCCCTGGCTTGTCCCCGAGGAGGGGAAGTCAACGTCAAACCAGTCCGTCCAGGAGCAGAGTTCAGGTTCGCAGGAGGTGGTGTGTTGCGTGGTGGAGGGGGAGCTGGTAGAGGAGATGAGAGTAGGGGTGGGCGAGAGGGTGCTGGTGCTGGTTGTTGGTGTTGTTGCCGTTGTGGAGGGCGTAGCGGTGGAGGTGGAGGTTGTGACGGTGATGAAGGACGTAGGGGAGGAGGTGCCTGTGGAGATGGAGGTGGTGGGACTGGTGGTAGGAGTGATGGTGTATACGCAGTTGGGGTTAGACCGGCAGCAGAGGACACGGATCCTGTAGTTGAGGCACATCTTAAAGCTGCCCTGCTGGTCCTGGTTCCTGCACACCAGTCCGTAGTGAACGTCACACTGCACAACCTGTCCGACTTGTTCGATGGAAATGTCGGGGTAGTCCTCGGCCTGGCACTCAATTTGTTTTGGCTGCTGACAGACTTCCTTCCCGGCAGCGCGGATGTGCTGGTAGGTTTCGAAGTCTCCCTGGCTTGTCCCCGAGGAGGGGAAGTCAACGTCAAACCAGTCCGTCCAGGAGCAGAGTTCAGGTTCGCAGGAGGTGGTGTGTTGCGTGGTGGAGGGGGAGCTGGTAGAGGAGATGAGAGTAGGGGTGGGCGAGAGGGTGCTGGTGCTGGTTGTTGGTGTTGTTGCCGTTATGGAGGGCGTAGCGGTGGAGGTGGAGGTTGTGACGGTGATGAAGGACGTAGGGGAGGAGGTGCCTGTGGAGATGGAGGTGGTGGGACTGGTGGTAGGAGTGATGGTGTATACGCAGTTGGGGTTAGACCGGCAGCAGAGGACACGGATCCTGTAGTTGAGGCACATCTTAAAGCTGCCCTGCTGGTCCTGGTTCCTGCACACCAGTCCGTAGTGAACGTCACACTGCACAACCTGTCCGACTTGTTCGATGGAAATGTCGGGGTAGTCCTCGGCCTGGCACTCAATTTGTTTTGGCTGCTGACAGACTTCCTTCCCGGCAGCGCGGATGTGCTGGTAGGTTTCGAAGTCTCCCTGGCTTGTCCCCGAGGAGGGGAAGTCAACGTCAAACCAGTCCGTCCAGGAGCAGAGTTCAGGTTCGCAGGAGGTGGTGTGTTGCGTGGTGGAGGGGGAGCTGGTAGAGGAGATGAGAGTAGGGGTGGGCGAGAGGGTGCTGGTGCTGGTTGTTGGTGTTGTTGCCGTTGTGGAGGGCGTAGCGGTGGAGGTGGAGGTTGTGACGGTGATGAAGGACGTAGGGGAGGAGGTGCCTGTGGAGATGGAGGTGGTGGGACTGGTGGTAGGAGTGATGGTGTATACGCAGTTGGGGTTAGACCGGCAGCAGAGGACACGGATCCTGTAGTTGAGGCACATCTTAAAGCTGCCCTGCTGGTCCTGGTTCCTGCACACCAGTCCGTAGTGAACGTCACACTGCACAACCTGTCCGACTTGTTCGATGGAAATGTCGGGGTAGTCCTCGGCCTGGCACTCAATTTGTTTTGGCTGCTGACAGACTTCCTTCCCGGCAGCGCGGATGTGCTGGTAGGTTTCGAAGTCTCCCTGGCTTGTCCCCGAGGAGGGGAAGTCAACGTCAAACCAGTCCGTCCAGGAGCAGAGTTCAGGTTCGCAGGAGGTGGTGTGTTGCGTGGTGGAGGGGGAGCTGGTAGAGGAGATGAGAGTAGGGGTGGGCGAGAGGGTGCTGGTGCTGGTTGTTGGTGTTGTTGCCGTTGTGGAGGGCGTAGCGGTGGAGGTGGAGGTTGTGACGGTGATGAAGGACGTAGGGGAGGAGGTGCCTGTGGAGATGGAGGTGGTGGGACTGGTGGTAGGAGTGATGGTGTATACGCAGTTGGGGTTAGACCGGCAGCAGAGGACACGGATCCTGTAGTTGAGGCACATCTTAAAGCTGCCCTGCTGGTCCTGGTTCCTGCACACCAGTCCGTAGTGAACGTCACACTGCACAACCTGTCCGACTTGTTCGATAGAAATGTCGGGGTAGTCCTCGGCCTGGCACTCAATTTGTTTTGGCTGCTGACAGACTTCCTTCCCGGCAGCGCGGATGTGCTGGTAGGTTTCGAAGTCTCCCTGGCTTGTCCCCGAGGAGGGGAAGTCAACGTCAAACCAGTCCGTCCAGGAGCAGAGTTCAGGTTCGCAGGAGGTGGTGTGTTGCGTGGTGGAGGGGGAGCTGGTAGAGGAGATGAGAGTAGGGGTGGGCGAGAGGGTGCTGGTGCTGGTTGTTGGTGTTGTTGCCGTTGTGGAGGGCGTAGCGGTGGAGGTGGAGGTTGTGACGGTGATGAAGGACGTAGGGGAGGAGGTGCCTGTGGAGATGGAGGTGGTGGGACTGGTGGTAGGAGTGATGGTGTATACGCAGTTGGGGTTAGACCGGCAGCAGAGGACACGGATCCTGTAGTTGAGGCACATCTTAAAGCTGCCCTGCTGGTCCTGGTTCCTGCACACCAGTCCGTAGTGAACGTCACACTGCACAACCTGTCCGACTTGTTCGATGGAAATGTCGGGGTAGTCCTCGGCCTGGCACTCAATTTGTTTTGGCTGCTGACAGACTTCCTTCCCGGCAGCGCGGATGTGCTGGTAGGTTTCGAAGTCTCCCTGGCTTGTCCCCGAGGAGGGGAAGTCAACGTCAAACCAGTCCGTCCAGGAGCAGAGTTCAGGTTCGCAGGAGGTGGTGTGTTGCGTGGTGGAGGGGGAGCTGGTAGAGGAGATGAGAGTAGGGGTGGGCGAGAGGGTGCTGGTGCTGGTTGTTGGTGTTGTTGCCGTTATGGAGGGCGTAGCGGTGGAGGTGGAGGTTGTGACGGTGATGAAGGACGTAGGGGAGGAGGTGCCTGTGGAGATGGAGGTGGTGGGACTGGTGGTAGGAGTGATGGTGTATACGCAGTTGGGGTTAGACCGGCAGCAGAGGACACGGATCCTGTAGTTGAGGCACATCTTAAAGCTGCCCTGCTGGTCCTGGTTCCTGCACACCAGTCCGTAGTGAACGTCACACTGCACAACCTGTCCGACTTGTTCGATGGAAATGTCGGGGTAGTCCTCGGCCTGGCACTCAATTTGTTTTGGCTGCTGACAGACTTCCTTCCCGGCAGCGCGGATGTGCTGGTAGGTTTCGAAGTCTCCCTGGCTTGTCCCCGAGGAGGGGAAGTCAACGTCAAACCAGTCCGTCCAGGAGCAGAGTTCAGGTTCGCAGGAGGTGGTGTGTTGCGTGGTGGAGGGGGAGCTGGTAGAGGAGATGAGAGTAGGGGTGGGCGAGAGGGTGCTGGTGCTGGTTGTTGGTGTTGTTGCCGTTGTGGAGGGCGTAGCGGTGGAGGTGGAGGTTGTGACGGTGATGAAGGACGTAGGGGAGGAGGTGCCTGTGGAGATGGAGGTGGTGGGACTGGTGGTAGGAGTGATGGTGTATACGCAGTTGGGGTTAGACCGGCAGCAGAGGACACGGATCCTGTAGTTGAGGCACATCTTAAAGCTGCCCTGCTGGTCCTGGTTCCTGCACACCAGTCCGTAGTGAACGTCACACTGCACAACCTGTCCGACTTGTTCGATGGAAATGTCGGGGTAGTCCTCGGCCTGGCACTCAATTTGTTTTGGCTGCTGACAGACTTCCTTCCCGGCAGCGCGGATGTGCTGGTAGGTTTCGAAGTCTCCCTGGCTTGTCCCCGAGGAGGGGAAGTCAACGTCAAACCAGTCCGTCCAGGAGCAGAGTTCAGGTTCGCAGGAGGTGGTGTGTTGCGTGGTGGAGGGGGAGCTGGTAGAGGAGATGAGAGTAGGGGTGGGCGAGAGGGTGCTGGTGCTGGTTGTTGGTGTTGTTGCCGTTGTGGAGGGCGTAGCGGTGGAGGTGGAGGTTGTGACGGTGATGAAGGACGTAGGGGAGGAGGTGCCTGTGGAGATGGAGGTGGTGGGACTGGTGGTAGGAGTGATGGTGTATACGCAGTTGGGGTTAGACCGGCAGCAGAGGACACGGATCCTGTAGTTGAGGCACATCTTAAAGCTGCCCTGCTGGTCCTGGTTCCTGCACACCAGTCCGTAGTGAACGTCACACTGCACAACCTGTCCGACTTGTTCGATGGAAATGTCGGGGTAGTCCTCGGCCTGGCACTCAATTTGTTTTGGCTGCTGACAGACTTCCTTCCCGGCAGCGCGGATGTGCTGGTAGGTTTCGAAGTCTCCCTGGCTTGTCCCCGAGGAGGGGAAGTCAACGTCAAACCAGTCCGTCCAGGAGCAGAGTTCAGGTTCGCAGGAGGTGGTGTGTTGCGTGGTGGAGGGGGAGCTGGTAGAGGAGATGAGAGTAGGGGTGGGCGAGAGGGTGCTGGTGCTGGTTGTTGGTGTTGTTGCCGTTGTGGAGGGCGTAGCGGTGGAGGTGGAGGTTGTGACGGTGATGAAGGACGTAGGGGAGGAGGTGCCTGTGGAGATGGAGGTGGTGGGACTGGTGGTAGGAGTGATGGTGTATACGCAGTTGGGGTTAGACCGGCAGCAGAGGACACGGATCCTGTAGTTGAGGCACATCTTAAAGCTGCCCTGCTGGTCCTGGTTCCTGCACACCAGTCCGTAGTGAACGTCACACTGCACAACCTGTCCGACTTGTTCGATGGAAATGTCGGGGTAGTCCTCGGCCTGGCACTCAATTTGTTTTGGCTGCTGACAGACTTCCTTCCCGGCAGCGCGGATGTGCTGGTAGGTTTCGAAGTCTCCCTGGCTTGTCCCCGAGGAGGGGAAGTCAACGTCAAACCAGTCCGTCCAGGAGCAGAGTTCAGGTTCGCAGGAGGTGGTGTGTTGCGTGGTGGAGGGGGAGCTGGTAGAGGAGATGAGAGTAGGGGTGGGCGAGAGGGTGCTGGTGCTGGTTGTTGGTGTTGTTGCCGTTGTGGAGGGCGTAGCGGTGGAGGTGGAGGTTGTGACGGTGATGAAGGACGTAGGGGAGGAGGTGCCTGTGGAGATGGAGGTGGTGGGACTGGTGGTAGGAGTGATGGTGTATACGCAGTTGGGGTTAGACCGGCAGCAGAGGACACGGATCCTGTAGTTGAGGCACATCTTAAAGCTGCCCTGCTGGTCCTGGTTCCTGCACACCAGTCCGTAGTGAACGTCACACTGCACAACCTGTCCGACTTGTTCGATGGAAATGTCGGGGTAGTCCTCGGCCTGGCACTCAATTTGTTTTGGCTGCTGACAGACTTCCTTCCCGGCAGCGCGGATGTGCTGGTAGGTTTCGAAGTCTCCCTGGCTTGTCCCCGAGGAGGGGAAGTCAACGTCAAACCAGTCCGTCCAGGAGCAGAGTTCAGGTTCGCAGGAGGTGGTGTGTTGCGTGGTGGAGGGGGAGCTGGTAGAGGAGATGAGAGTAGGGGTGGGCGAGAGGGTGCTGGTGCTGGTTGTTGGTGTTGTTGCCGTTGTGGAGGGCGTAGCGGTGGAGGTGGAGGTTGTGACGGTGATGAAGGACGTAGGGGAGGAGGTGCCTGTGGAGATGGAGGTGGTGGGACTGGTGGTAGGAGTGATGGTGTATACGCAGTTGGGGTTAGACCGGCAGCAGAGGACACGGATCCTGTAGTTGAGGCACATCTTAAAGCTGCCCTGCTGGTCCTGGTTCCTGCACACCAGTCCGTAGTGAACGTCACACTGCACAACCTGTCCGACTTGTTCGATGGAAATGTCGGGGTAGTCCTCGGCCTGGCACTCAATTTGTTTTGGCTGCTGACAGACTTCCTTCCCGGCAGCGCGGATGTGCTGGTAGGTTTCGAAGTCTCCCTGGCTTGTCCCCGAGGAGGGGAAGTCAACGTCAAACCAGTCCGTCCAGGAGCAGAGTTCAGGTTCGCAGGAGGTGGTGTGTTGCGTGGTGGAGGGGGAGCTGGTAGAGGAGATGAGAGTAGGGGTGGGCGAGAGGGTGCTGGTGCTGGTTGTTGGTGTTGTTGCCGTTGTGGAGGGCGTAGCGGTGGAGGTGGAGGTTGTGACGGTGATGAAGGACGTAGGGGAGGAGGTGCCTGTGGAGATGGAGGTGGTGGGACTGGTGGTAGGAGTGATGGTGTATACGCAGTTGGGGTTAGACCGGCAGCAGAGGACACGGATCCTGTAGTTGAGGCACATCTTAAAGCTGCCCTGCTGGTCCTGGTTCCTGCACACCAGTCCGTAGTGAACGTCACACTGCACAACCTGTCCGACTTGTTCGATGGAAATGTCGGGGTAGTCCTCGGCCTGGCACTCAATTTGTTTTGGCTGCTGACAGACTTCCTTCCCGGCAGCGCGGATGTGCTGGTAGGTTTCGAAGTCTCCCTGGCTTGTCCCCGAGGAGGGGAAGTCAACGTCAAACCAGTCCGTCCAGGAGCAGAGTTCAGGTTCGCAGGAGGTGGTGTGTTGCGTGGTGGAGGGGGAGCTGGTAGAGGAGATGAGAGTAGGGGTGGGCGAGAGGGTGCTGGTGCTGGTTGTTGGTGTTGTTGCCGTTGTGGAGGGCGTAGCGGTGGAGGTGGAGGTTGTGACGGTGATGAAGGACGTAGGGGAGGAGGTGCCTGTGGAGATGGAGGTGGTGGGACTGGTGGTAGGAGTGATGGTGTATACGCAGTTGGGGTTAGACCGGCAGCAGAGGACACGGATCCTGTAGTTGAGGCACATCTTAAAGCTGCCCTGCTGGTCCTGGTTCCTGCACACCAGTCCGTAGTGAACGTCACACTGCACAACCTGTCCGACTTGTTCGATGGAAATGTCGGGGTAGTCCTCGGCCTGGCACTCAATTTGTTTTGGCTGCTGACAGACTTCCTTCCCGGCAGCGCGGATGTGCTGGTAGGTTTCGAAGTCTCCCTGGCTTGTCCCCGAGGAGGGGAAGTCAACGTCAAACCAGTCCGTCCAGGAGCAGAGTTCAGGTTCGCAGGAGGTGGTGTGTTGCGTGGTGGAGGGGGAGCTGGTAGAGGAGATGAGAGTAGGGGTGGGCGAGAGGGTGCTAATGGTTGTGCTCGTGGAGAGTTCCGTTGTTGTGGTGGTTGTAGCTGTGGTGGTGGGGGTTGTTACTGTCGGTATGGCTGTTTTCTTTGTTGTCTGTGTGCTTTGATTTGGTGTTGATGTGGTTTCGCTGTGAATATTTTCTGTTCTTGGTGGTATTGTTTCTATAGTGGTTGTCTTATGTTTTGTTTGTATCTGTGGTGTGTATTGTGTTGTTGATATTTCTGTGTATGGTGTCGTTGTTGTTGTTGAAATTGTTGTTGTTGTTTGTGTTTCTGTAGTTGAATATGGTGTTTGTGTTGTTTGGCATGGTATTGTTACGTTTTTACAGCATTTAAATCTTACTTCGTAGTTGTAGCAGATCGGTGGTAGCTGGTCTTTATTATAGCATATTAAACCTTCTTCAGTGTTGCATGTAATATGTTGTTCCAGGAGTTGATATGGTGTATCAGGGAATCTTACCGCTCTGCATTCAACAGCCTTTCTGTTAGCACAGACTGTATATCCCTGTTTTCTTATATTCTGAACTGTATCAAAGTCTCCATCATCGTATCCCGATCCTGGATAGCTGGCATCATACCAAATTGACCAGTCACATTCTTCTTTTACACAGATTGCTGCTGTTGAAGGAGATACGGTGACTAGTGTTGTTGTTTTAATTGCAGTTGTTGAAATTTCTGAGGTTGTAGTAGCTGGTGTTTGTGTAGTGGTGGTAGTAATTTCCTCTATTACCGTAGGTGTCACGCTTGATTGGCAGTGGCTGTAGTCATCACAACAGAATACTTTTACTTGATAATTAAGACAGATATGCAGTTCTCCTTTTTGATCTTCATTTCTGCAGATAAGTCCATATGTTACATTGCAGTGGACAACCTGGCCTATTTCTTCAATAGATTTATGTGGGTATTTCTCTGCTCTGCATTGTATTTTTTCAGGGTTTCTGCAGATTGCTTTTCCAGCAGATCTAATGTCCTGGTAGGTTTCATAATCTCCTTTGTTGTGCAGTGTTGGGAAATGGACATCATACCATTGGGACCATTTGCACTTTGGTTGGCAAGGTATTGTAGTGATTGTCTCTGGGGAGGTACTTGCTGTTTCCGAAGTGCTTGTGACAGAAGTAGTTCCTGTTTCTGTGGTTGCAGATGAAGTTGTGGTAATCATACTTGATGTTGTGGTTGTCATTTCTGGAACTGGGGTATGTGTTGTGATGGATGGAGTGGAAGAGCACGGTACAAAAACACAACATAAGATTCTGATTTCGTAATTGTAGCACATAGTTGAAATTTGATCTTTGTTGTAACATATAAGCCCATCTTTTGTATTACATTCTACACTTTGGCCAAGGTCCTTCAGTGGTATGTTAGGAAATTTCTCTGCCCTGCATTGAACTGCCTTTGGAGCTCTACAGACTTCATAACCTTTAGCTCTCAAATCACTGAATGTTTCAAAATCTCCACCGTCAAATCCAGGTATTAGTGAACTTCCATCATACCATTCTGACCACTGACAGACTTCATGAACACATACCGATGTCGTTGGTGATGATGTAACTGAAAGAGTTAAAGAAAATATTTTGAAACTTAGAATACATTCCCATATACATATTTTCATTATGTTGAAGGGGCTGAAAATTTTTTAACACCATTAGTTGCATTTTGAGTCTTTTAAGAATTATTTTAGGATAATTATAATTTAATATCAACTAGAATAGAAAATCCATTATCTAGTGATTTATCTCACTGACATGTTTGGAACAGTCACTTCAATGAAAATATTGTTTGTTATTTAGAGAGTGCTGAAATAAGACTCAGACACACTTTATCTGTTTTGAAGGAAATCCCCCCCCCCCCCCCCCTTTTTTTTTTTTTTTACATTTGATTCAGTGCAATTGCTTGGTTTTGTGTCTTGTTTCAGTATTTAATAGTCTTTCCTGAACATCAAGTGTGGCAGAAAGAACAGCATTTGTTTCACTGGTGCGTTTAGTTTTCATTCCTAATGAATTTATTCCTCATGAAATACACGGCATTGCCATTGCTTCTTCATTTGAATTTAAGATATCTCTGACACAACATCATTAGCAACTCGACACTTTGTACTTTAGTTCTGCTCTTAAGAAATTATTTATTGATTGGAGAGCAGTCCATAAGATTTTGCAGACTAACTATTCACATGAAATAGCTGGAAAATAGCTAACAAATTCTAGTTGTGCTGATGGTTTCTGAGATTTGAAAACTTATAATTCAAAATTTTATGTTGAACATGTATTTTGTTTGACTGTGGTCACAGTAATTAGAGATTACCAACCTTGAGTATACTGGAGAATTCTAAAAGTGAGTATTTCAATATCTCGATGTCATTATCTGAGTGATCTACTTAGTACTTTAATTACATATATCATGAACACTATCAGGAATTCTATAGAATGTAATCATTTTATAATTTAATAGGAAAAATAATGAGTGATCTATTTATTCAGTAAAGATTATTCCAGGTACATAGTTACAAATAGAGATAATAAATCTCATGCAGCTTTCTTATAGTTTGCTGTGAAAACAAACAAAATAATTGTATCAAAATAGTGTGCAGTTGTTCTTATGCTGGTGTTTTGGAAGTGATTTTATTTTCTGTATTGTATTAGTTTGATTACCAAATATTGACTGAAACCCAACACTAATAACAGTGCTATTTAGTGGTTATATTTTATCCAGTAATGCATAGAATAAGTTCCTATGACCTGTAAGATTATACCTGTGGAAGCAGTGGCAGGCGGAGTGGTGCTGAAGTAAAACGGTATTGTGGGTGATACTGAGATTGGGCAGTCAAACACAGCTCTTTGAAGTGTTCCATTAGGACCACAGGTTGCAACAATACAGCCTCCTATGCCATCTGTAGTATTGTAGATCATATCTGTATAGTTATATGTCCGTCCTTCATAAACACAGACACATTCTGTAAAACAAAAGAGGATAGTATTCTTTGGTATCTAAAACACAGAGCAGGGTGCTTTAAATGCATTGTACTCTTATGAAAACAACTTTTTCAACATACCATGTTCGTCATATTTGCATATTTTGCCATGGTTTGTGCATTCACTGGAAAAGAGAAAAAAGAAGATAATGAATCTGAATGTATTGGTTAGTAGTATCAGTTTACTGCATCTTTTTCTGTTGTCTGCTGTTCATTGCATGTTGCAGGGTATCCTCAGCAGTGCATTTAGAGGCAAGGCAAAGATATGGGGAGGCGTGATTAGGAATGTTCTTGTCTCCTTGATAAGCACACATTTTTGGAAGGGAAAGTACAGTAAAAATATCACTTGAGAAAGGATCACTGTGTTACAGATGTTTACATCAGATTTCTGACAAACCTTCAGGGAATGTAGTTTTTAAAAAGAATTTATCTATTATCTGTTAAGAATTGAATCCTGATATATTTATTTACATTTATATGACTAAGGGCATATGTACACTGCATAAACTTAAGCAAATACAGATATATATTTAACAGTTTACATTTAGTACTGTTGATGACATAGGTGAGGCAATCAAAGCTATCTTTGAGCTGCAAAGTGTAACATGAATGTTGAGTAAATAGTCAGATTGGCTCTTAATGGACTCTGCCACTCTGGCTGCATTGCTTGCAGTATTCATTTATAGCTATTTTGAAGACCACAGAGTCATAAAATTGTACAGTGATTTGGGTTGGAAGGGACCTTAAAGACATCTAGTTGAACCACCTGCCATGGGTATGGACATTTTCTCTAGATGAGGTTGCTCAAAGCCCCATCAAACCTGGCCTTGAACACTTTCAGGGATGGGGCATCCACAACTTCTCTGGGCAACCCATTCCAGGGCCTCCCATTTTCATAGTGAAGAATTTCTTCCTAAAGTGTAATCTAAACCTACCCTATTTTAGCTTTAAACCATTATCCCTTGTCCTGTCACTGCAGTCTCGAAGAGTCCCTCCCAAAAATGTCTCAGGACAATGTTAACTGATTCATGGCTGGTTCTGCTAACTTTGTGCTATTTGATAGAAAGCTTGACAGGACTTTCCCAACAAGTACAGCTAGCTTGTATTCATAAATTCTAATGGAATATGTAGGAATACTTGCTGACTGTTGCAAATAACAGAAATGAGTTCAAAACAATGAAGAATTGACATGTACTCATTTCTAAATAATTCCACATAATTACTTTAGGGATATCTTAATATAAGTCCTCAGATTATTTACAAAATTATTATTATTATTATTTGTTTTTTTTTACTTAATAATGTTTGTAATAAGAATGCAGAGTGAGTAATATATATTAATCTCCCTAAAGTAAAACGTTTTATCATATCATCTACATTCCTGGGAACAGAAGAAAATTAGACATTATTCAGCAGCCTAATTTTTGCTAGCAAACAAAAAACCAAATGCACGATGAATTAAGTTCTGCAACTTTAGGCTCGACATTGAAAAATCTTTATTAATCCTACCATGCTTGGCAGTTCTGCTTTGAAGGCATCTGCATTCCTGGCTTGTAATGTTTTCCATTCTCATAGCAACCACAATTAGAAACACAAGCCATGGTTTCTTCATCAAAATAGGGCTTATTCTTTGGGCAGTGTGGATAACAGCCTGCAGAAAAATAGAGTCATATTTATGCTGATCTTTCACAAGTAGAAGTGACCCTACACTCTGCTAATATCTGATCTAGTGAAATTATTCCATGTGGTAATTGGAATTTCACTTTCCATTACTGTTATTTCATTGATTACAGATTAATCTTTGGAAGCATTTTGTCCTCATTTTCACTCCAAACTAGTGTATGATTCACTGGGAGTTAGGTTGTCTTCAAATTTCTGCTATAAACATTTCATACACTGAATAATCCAGATTTTGTTCATCTTACTCTTTTAATTTTTTACTAAGTAGAATGAGATATGCATAATTATGTTTACCTTCCAAACCTCTCAACTCATGAAGGCACTTCCCACTTGGATTATTACAGGTCTTCATACAAGGGGCTCCACAGGGCTTGTAGTGCCATTCACATTCCCCCTGTGGATTGTAGTAATCGCAGAACAGAGCTAGAGAAAGAGAAATGACAGAAAAGGATCTTAACTTTATCTATTTCTATTGGTGTTATTTTGCTGGGTAAGTCTCATGTCATCAGCACAATCATGTAAGTGGTGAACAGCATGTTGTCTTATTTCTCTTTTAATACTGTTGTTATACTTTTACAACATTTTGAACCCAATGAAGTTATAAAACAGCAAACAGAGTTAGACTTTAAGCATGCAAAATAACGACTGGCAAGTAAATGGGACGCTAATAATACAGCAGGTGAAGTTACTGGCAGATGGTTTCTTTTTATGTAGATTGAATAGAATAGATTCCAGTGATTTACTCAAATTGCTTTGGGTTTTGTGTTGCTTTTTTTTGTTTGTTTGTTTGTTTGTTTGTTATTATTGTGCTGGTTTTTTTTCTGCCTGTTTTTATGATACAGCAGTGTCCCCTACAAATACAGTTTTATCCTCCTTTCTTTCTTCTTCCTACTTTTTTTGTTTGTTTGTTTGTTTCTTTGATTTTGTTTGTTTCTTGTCTTGCTTTCTTTCCCTCTGTATCCCTTCAGAAAGAAGTGGAGTGAGACTTACGACAAATGGATGGGGTTCTCCATGAAATGCAAATGTCCAGCTCATTGCACGCTTGAGCATAGGCAGCTACTGCTGTACAAAAACATTCACAGTCTCCTCCAGTGTCACAAGCACAAGCATCATCCACACATGCTTGATAATATTCATTCGGTTCAACCTGTTGGAGGAAATATTTGAGTTTTGTTTCCTGCACTTGTCCACTTTTAAAAGGTATTTTCAGTACTAAAAAAATAACTTAGAAAATATCTGTAGTTGGCCACTGTATATTTTAGAAAGATAAAAAATGAAAAAATTATGATAATATTTTGAAAAATCAAGAGAACAACGTTGCAGACAGCTATTAGTAGGAAGTCATAACCATAGGAACGATTTGGTGTTAAAGACACAATTACAGAAGGAGTATTGCTACATTACTACATGCTAGCACACAATTGTAGATATCATGTAGCTGATATTTTTATTAATAGAAAACGATGCCATTGCAATTAAAATGTATCCTGCTATTTATCTGTAACTGTCCCTTCTATAACACAAGAAACCAAGTCCTATGGATTTTTGTGTTGTGTTAGAAAACTGGCATAAGCAGAAGAAATGGAGGTGCATATCCTTTCTATTCAATCTCCCTAGAGCATGGCCTGACTTTGTTATTCATGACTTAGTCCAAATCCTAGTGTGTTTTCAATTGCTCCACATAAAAATTGATGTAAACTCTGCAGACTGAAGTTCTATCGTACCTGGGAGTGACACTTTGCAAATACTTCACTGGTAATGATGCTGCATTGCTTCTGTGCCCAGGATTTCCTGTATGGGTTTGCAGTGCATGGATCTTTGGTTTGATTGGCATTTGGGCAAGTAGAGGACACTTTCCAGCTATTGGCAAACTCCAGCACATTTCCTACCACAGACTGACTGCGCGTAGTGAAGTCATTGTTTCCATTGCCATCATAATTTCCACAAAGGCCACAGACATGTCCCTGCATGGGGATAAACATAAAATAACGAAGATCAGCAAGGTACAGCTTCTCAGTATCTGTGAGGAACGTACTCCAGGATGAAGCTTATTTAAAATGAGCAGGACTTCTTCAGCAAAATACCCTTCAGGTAAAGATATTTCTAAGATATCCTTACAAGTGATAGGGAAAGAAGCAGAGTAGACTTGTGGTTTTTGTTCTTAATATTAATTAAATGTACCGCTTCAGCAAAGTACATTTTCTTGAAGGATACTACTTATACAGCTGCTGTTATGCTGTTGTTGAAAAACAGAATTTATGGAAAATGTGTATATAGAATCTGAGTCAATATTACAAAGATAATAGGCAATAACTGCTATTTCAGTTGCAGCCTAAATTTCCATATTTCCACACGAGATAGAGCATGAAAATGGGTCAGGAAGCGTCCACTCCAGGTTTTGGATTTTAAAACGTACCTGAAAGCTGGGACTAAGTTTGATGAATATACTGGTTTTCTTGTCCCACATGAGTATCAGACCAACAGTAGTGTCAACAACCGTGTAGATGCCCATGGAACGGATTTGGAATGGCATTTCTCCTCCAGGTGACCTCTGAATGACATCAGAATGTCCATCACTGAGCACCAGCTCGTAGTTCTGGGGCAAGAAATGGAAAAGTTAGAGACCAATTTAAAAAGTCACCCATTAGGTCCATTTTTTTATATTGTTAGTAGCCATTTTTGAAATAATCATCATCAAAATGTTGTATTCAAAAATCTCCTGTTGATCTGCTTCTCTTCAAAAATCCCTCCATTGTTTTCCCTGGCAGAATTGTTGGCAGTGATCATGGAAGTGTGATAACATTTTTGCTGACCTGGGGGACACTTTTATTATACAGTCTGTCTGGGACAACCCAACAGTCCTTCCAGCAAATTAGTTTGGGTGAAACTTATTTAAGAACATGCTTACCCCCAAGAAAACTTTAATGGACTTGGAGCAGGTGGTTCCTGTTGTGCCACATGGAATGTTTTCAGTGATTACTCTGAAGGTTCCCTGATTCAAACCTTTTCTGCCACAGTAGTTCTGAAACAGAGAAATGATATTCTGGGTTAATGATGTTCTGTGATGCATTATACAAGAATTATAGAATCACAGATCACCATGGTTGGAAAAGACCTCGAAGATCATCTAGTCCAACTGTCTACCTACCAGTAATACTCCCCCACTAAACCACACGCCTTAGTACCACATCTGAATGTTTCTTGAACACCTCCAGGGACAGTGACTCCACCACCTCCGTGGGCAGCCCATTCCGGAGTCTGACCACTCTTTCAGAGAAGAAATTTTTCCTAATATCCAGCCTAAACCTCCCTTGCTGCAACTTAAGGTCATTTCCTATCATCCTATTACTTGGAGAATCCTAGAATCACAAAGTGGCTTGGATTGAAAAAGACCCCAAGACCATCAATTCCAAGCTCCCTGCCACAGGCAGGGCTTCCAACTTTCAGAAAAGTAAACCAGCTCCCACCTCACTACAACCTCCTTTCAGGTAGTTGTACAGAAGGAATCTGTTACCTGGATTAGAACATATTCACAGTCTCCTTCAAAATCAAAGCGTTTGCCATCAAAGGTGGTATAATGCCCATCTCCATAAACTGAACAGGTTTCTAGGCAAGGTTCCTCGGAGCAGTGCCACTTTCTGTTTCTACATGTGCTACATAAGATGAAAAGAACTCAAAAAATGTAGAAAACAGGTATTCACATATTATACAGATTTATATTTCTACATGTACATTCTTCTGTTTTTAGTTTTAAAAAATGTTAAGCCTGCAGTGAAAAAATAAGGTGTGTTTATTCTCAGAAATGCAGCAAAGCTCCAGTCTCTAGAATTTACCCAAAGAGTGTTAATTTATGATGACGTGAATAATTTGGGTTAGAAGAAACTTAGGTGTTCCACATTTCTAAATCTTGTTGGTTGTATTGAATTATAAGTATTGCCTGAGAAGAAAAAAAGAAAGCTATCTTAACTCTAATGAATATGATAGCATCTAAACCAAATTTTTATTCTGATCACATGCAATTTCTGTGCTGTGTGCATCTTTGAAAACAGAAGCAGTTTGCTTTTTATTTAAAATGGCCATGAGTGGGCCCAATTGGCCTTATTTTTTTGCTTAATTTATCATTTTATTTAGGATTCTTTCCTACGAATCTTGATACTGCTGGAGTGAAAAGCTATAATTCAACTAGAATTTAAACTGTTCCCTTCTAGGGGCTTGAAAATAATGTTTTAATATGCTCTTACCAGTTGTTGCAGCCAACTCTGATTGATTCTCCTGGACGGTAGGAATACCCATTGTGAACACATGGGCACTCTTCAGCAACTATGCAGCCACCTTTGCCATCTGATACGTAATTAGGAGGACATATGCAGCCAGAGACGCAGTGGGTTTTGTACTGTAAAGACCGTGTAAGAGATGTGACTTGAGACATTGCCCTGATGGAAGAGTCCATCTACAACTGGTAAGCATAAAAGAGATCTAGTTTCTTATGCTTTCAATTGGATGTACAGATTCTATACTTACACATTCCATGTCTAAAGTCTGACAACTCTTCTGGCACTCTGCTCCTATGACACCTGCAGTGGCATTGCCACAGTCAACATAGACCATGGGAGGTTCACAGACTGGAAGAGAGAAAAAAAGCACGAGAAGTGTGAAATGAACTATGTTTATATCTTTATGTTTCCTTAAAAATTCAAAAACGAACTAGCAAACAAAAAACAAACAAACAAACAAAAAAACACATATGTTTCAGATACATGCAACTTAAGAGAATGCATTTGACCGGAGGTAAAAACAAATGTTCTGAAGTCATACCCATTTTGGTTTTATGTTTATGCTTGGACTGTTCATAGAAACTAATGTGCAGTTAGCTTCATAAAACACTTCTTTTCACCAAAGGAAAAACAAGAAAGTAAAGATCCTGTTTCACTTTGAACGTTTGCAATGACTGGCTTTCAGTTCTTTAATTTAAAAAAATATATTTAAAAGGCGGTCATTTTTCCCCTCAAGTTCACTGAAATGAGCAAGTATTCTTTTCCCCTGGGTAATCCAGGAGGTATAACTTGATGGTTTTATCACTTGAAAGCGAAAACAGTGTTTTTTGTTTTTTTTTCACAGTTATGGTGTGTTACAGAATCATTGGTTTGTTTTCTTGTTTGATTTCAGACTTAAAGTATTTGTATCATTATAACAAAAACAGAGAATTGAAAAGGTTGAAGGTGTGAAGGGAAAATTAAATAAAATCTTAAGCAGTACGTTACCTGGTGATGGTTTCTCTCCAATGCAGCTCAGCTTTCCGTAACTGCAAGTGCTATAAAAAAGAGAAAGGTTTTATGTTTGATTTTCTTGCTGAGTTTCAATTTGTTTCCTAATTAATTTGAAAGAATGAAACAAACACTGTGTTTTCATCAGAATAGTTTAGAATATTTAAAAATATTTCATATTAGAGCAGACCAAAATGCCATTATGTTCTATAAGTGGACCAATTTTCTTTGTCCATTTGTCTAATTAAAAATTGTCCTTCAGAATATTCCAGATTTCATTCATAATGTTAATCCTAGTATGATTGTCAAGTCTGTATCATCTCCAACTGTCAAAGAAGTCTTTTACACTCACCGAAATTTTGTTGCAGAGAGTAAGCAAGTACCTGAGTGAGATTTTGGCTGGTAGCCAAGGTTAATTCACCATAGTATGCTTTATTTGATTGCTACAGTAGTCTAATTCAAAACATGAATAGCCCTTATAATTTTTCTGAATTCTTTTTTTGTGTGTGTTGAATTCACTAGGGAGAAAAATTGGTTTGATTTGCATAAATTGCATAGGATATATGTGGTTTCCTGATTGCCTGTACCCAATCTCATTCTTTTCTTTTTCAAATCTCTTACCAGACAATGCCATTATCATGAATAACTTCTCCAGTAGACAGAGGCATTCCTTTGTAGTAACAAGGACAGCTAGATGCAGGCACACATTTGCCACTTTCATCCATGTAGGTTCCATTTACACAGGTGCAGCCATCAACTGGGACAAACTTGATGTTGCATGTGACATCAGGCTCACTCAGAGAACGACAAGTAGGTTGACAGGAATCAACATTGTAAGTGTACTCCAAGGATTTTGGACACGTGTTGGTGTATTTTGCTTGAGAGAGTAAAACAAGGTGAGTTAATTTAAGGATCAGTGTAGATATAAATGCAGTATTTGAGGTAAAGTACATATGATAAAAAATGGCATTGTAGGTAGATGTGCTTTTCTAATATCCTCAGTGGTGTGATTTTTTTTTTTTTAATTGCCAAAGCAAAAATTTCCCCCATAATTGTGTGACAAATACAAATATTATGTCCAAGTTAAAAAAAAAAAAAAAAGCAAAAAAGTTCAATTATATTGATACATCGTGTGTTTTTCCTTCATTGCTATTTTCTGAGCAAGTAACCAAGTATCTTGTTTATATTTCTCCTTGTATGCTGCTTGTCTTTTATGGTATTCCTCTCTTCCTCAAATTCTTAGAATTGAATGCTATACTTAAAACATAAATTAACACAATTTACTCTAGGACTCCCATATGTTCTGAAAGATTGTTTGTGGGGTCTTTTGGACGATTGTTTTCAAGAGGTAAAGTGGTGTAGAACTTACTGCAGACTTTGTTCCTCCATCCATTAACGAGTATTCCTTTAGCGGCACAGGCTCTGACATAGCTGGAAAGGGCAGCACACATGCAGTCCTCAGTACTCTCACAGTTACATGTATCAAACATGCAGTTCTAGGGAAAGAGGATGATATGAGATCATCAGATTGTCATTTCAAAACTGTATCTTTTTAGACTTTATTTAAAGAGTCATGTTCATTACAGCTAAAAGAAAATGTAATTTGAATACATATAAATAACCACATGCCTATTTTTTCATTTGAAGATTTCTTTGAGCCCTTTCAGAAAAGATTATATGCAAAGAAAAATAGTAATCAGAGGCCTGTGATTTTAACTTATTTTTCCTTTTTGTTGTTGTTCTTTACTTTTGCAGGTGGTGATAGGTTTCCCTGTTGCTTCCAATTTGTAGCCATGGTACCACAGATAGTGGAACAAGTAGTATTTAATCCCACCTGACTTTTCATCTTTGCTAGACTCTCTGATTCAGAGGAATAAAGGGGAGGAAAAAAAAGTCATTCTTTTTGTATGTAGGGCCATAGGTTGAATTCTTGGAATGTTTTTTTTTAACAGTCCATTTGCTGCTTTGTACTTCCAGTTCTTGCTTTCTCCTTAGAAATGTGCAGAAAGGGGCCAGCTGAGAGCAACTAGGCAAAGTACTGCTTATACTCCTTTTATCTCTGGAAAAGTGCCTTTGTCATTGGACTTGAGAAAGAATCCACACAGCTCAAGCTCCTAGATTAGGAATTTGGCATCAAGAAAATGTCTGTAAATTTATCCTCCTTTGAGTGAAAAGAAAGGTTATTTTATAAAGGAGTAGATATTATGATGCCTAGATAAAATGAATCCTTAGCTTGGAAAGAACAGTTGTAAATGTGTCTTCTCTCAGTGTTAGCATCAGTAGTCCAAATCTTATTCTTTTAAGCATGAAAAAGTTAAGAGCCAAGTACCTTCTGGTAAACTTCTGGATTCACTGTTGAGTGACATTCTGCAAAAGGTCCCATGGTATCAGAGAGCAAGCCACACCAGTGCTGAGCATAGTTATCTGTGAATTTAAAACATGCAAGTTAATATTCACATAATTGTCTAAATTGTCTTCACTTCGTTGTCTAAATTCTAGTTTCTGTTACATTACTTCCTGCAGTGAAATTAGAGAGGTTTAACTTAATAGAATTCATCTGTTTCCTTAAATATTAACAGTATTCTGCATCATCTGTACAAAAATTATAATTCTTCATAAATTGAGTACTCTTAATTTACAGTAGTTGTTGTGGAATAAAGTAAAATTTCTTGGATGTATTTTGATAAAGAAGAATCACACTGTGAATCAAAACTATAGTAGTTCATCTTAAAAAATTGAAGAGTGGCTGTGGATGGTGGAAGCGTAAGTGTTTCTTTGTCTGAAATTCTTAAGATTCAGAGAGCTATGAAGTCATTCATGAACTATAAGTGGTTCATAGTTTGATAGCGGAAGGACCACAGTGAGTCCTCCTCCTTCAGTTGAGATATGCACAGCTTTTTCATGTATGATAACCAGTGCTTTCCAAGAATAGATTCCTTAGCTGTATAGTTCCAGTTCCCCTTGGGTAAACTGGCAAAAGCAACACTGGCTTTCTTTAGCCAAAGGAATATTTTTGAAAATCCAAAATATTGAACTACTTAGTACTTATTAATTGATAATTTCTATTGTCTGCTGAGGAAAATAGCATGTGTATGCAAATGGTCCACTGTTACTTTGGCTAAATGCTTTGTGGTTGATCAGCTCTTTTCTTCTTTTTATCTTAAAAGAGAATACAAAAGAGCTTACCATTTTCTATACTGAGAGTGCAGGGGTTCTCAAAGGTAATTTTGGCATCAGGACAGTCAGCCTGAGTTTTCCAAGTATTGCCAAAGGCAGCCGAAGTACCCTCTATTACACCACTTGTGGTTTTGAAGTCATCTGTCTGGATGTCATTGAAGTTTCCACAGAGACCTAGAGGGAAGTAAATGGTCTGTGAAAGTCTCCTACAAAATATGCATGCTGATGAAGGCAGTTGTTAGAATAAGATCACTTACCACAGGTCTGCCCTTTCTGTGATGGATCTAAATTTATAAAAAGTTGCATGAGAGGTACAATTTGAATCTGCAGCTGAAGACCAAAAGTTGTTTGTAAAATGATGAAGAATGATGATGGTCTGAAGATGGTGACATTTGCTGTGGACAAAGAGGAATAATTTCATTTAAGATAGAAACAACTTTTCACTATATAGGAGAATTACACAGCTGTGTGTGATCTTAGTTGTTGAAGAACAGAAACATATATATATATATATATAGATATATAGATATATAGATATATAGATATATATATATATATAGGATTTCAAATCCTGCACCAAGATGGGCTGTCTTTACTTTAAAGAATGAGTATGCAAAAAGCTTCCACTTTTCCATCAGCTGTTCTAAAGTGGAGGGGAAGACGTACTTTTCTGTTCCTATCTAAAAGAACACCTCTGCTTGATGAAAATGTTTAGCACGAGTTAGTGGTAGACTCCAATATGAAACTATTCTGTCATTTAATAGTTTGCTTTCTGTTCAGGTGCAGCAGTATCTGAGAAGAAGTGGTACGATACTCTCCAGTGAGAAATATCACAGAAGTCTTTGAAAGGAACTTACCTGCAGAGAAGGGCAGCTGTGTGTAGATCATATTCACAAATACACTGCCAGAAGGCTGGATCACAATGTTCTGTCCACAAGAAAAGGCAATGATTGTCAAGCATGTTTAGGAAAGGTAAAACACTTTCCAAACGTAGTATATCTAGTATTACTTAAGGCAAAGGAAAGGAGTGCGGGGGGGGGAAGGGAAGAAGCAAGTTGGTGGACTCCAGCTATGGTGATTTTCAGATTCCCTTACTATTTCTTTTATCGTTACTATAGAGATCCATTGATGGCTAAAACAGAAAACTAAATGACAGAAAACTATGAGGATTTTAACTTCCAATATATCTGCTTTGTTCTTTTCAAAAATTGAATTCATTTTCAAATGAGATAAAACAAAAAATCAGTCCATGCTGTTATGAGTCATTTGCATACTAATTGCATATTGAGATTGGAAAACATCACTGCAGAATATTAGCTGTTTGTATTTGCTACTTACAGTTTGTCCTCCACTTAGACTGATGGCTACGCCCTTGAGGCAAGTCTCAGTGTCAGTGAGACCACACTTGTAGATGTCACCCAGAACAGTGAAATCATTGCTGTCACAGAGCTAAAAGAAGAAAACAAACTAAGTCCATTGTATTAGAAAGATCACACTCAGTGGGTTTTTACACTTCTTCTTTTTTTTTTTTTTTTCTATTTCATTTTTTTTGCTCTTTGGTTTTTTGTTTTTTCTTTTTTGTTTTTTTTTTTTTTTGCAGACTGTGTTCTGTGAGCTGTATTCGAAGTACGCCTAAGGGCCAAGTCATTACAGAGAAATACACAGAACTTGTTTTTTTGGTGTTAACAGTACTAAACTGAGGACAGCTGAGATGTGGAATTACAGCCATAAGAAAATTTAATGTTAAAATTTAGAGCTTTTTAAATCTTATCTATACAGGTTGAAGGTTTTGGTTTACTTCCAGGACCCCTGTGAATCTAATTTTACATGCTGGTGCCAAAAAGGAAGTTTAACATGTAAGTCTGATGTATGCTCACATTGTTGATCCAACCCTATGCATGTGATTTTCACTGAAAATTTTCATTGATTTAATCTAATCTGTTTCTAAATTTTGTTATTCTAGCTCATTTCTTCAGTGTTTATGGTTCTCTTTCCAGGTAACATTCAGCTTGAGCTTTTTCAGAGCAGGTTTTATTTAATGTAAAGCCTTCAGGAGACTGATTTTGCATTACTCGTACAGTATAAATCAACAGCCAAAAATACATTGCATTCTGAGATTTGAAATCTGCAGTTGTTAACTAAGACATACTTACTCAGGATTCAGTCCCTACAAATTTAGCAAGTCCAGTTGATCTTAAGTGGGTTGTTTTTTTTTTTATGTTTTTGTTTTTTTTTAATGTATATATATAATTTCTGATGCTGGTTTTAGAATACATGTATGACTTCTTACCATTTTGCTTTCAAATTCTAGTGTATTTTGCATTTTCTCTTTCTCAGAAAGAGACAGTTACGAAACACCAGACAGGGAATATTCAATTAAAACAAAAAGGAAAGTGTAGAGGCTGTTTCATGAAAACTAAAAACTCACTGCAGTTCTTAACCAATGATCAAATAGATAAGAATACTAAAATATATTTGTTTTCTACAAAACTATCAGAAAGCCCATTGAGATCTATTTAAGGTTCCAGGTATTTCTTTTAAGTTTCAGAAAATTGCTGTAATTGCCAGTAGTTTAAATTAAACATTCTTGTATTTAATAACAGAGTTTTCTGTTAGCAAATTACTTTAACAAGGAATGTGACTCCTTTTTACCTTGGTTAGGACATAGCTACAATCTCCATAGAAGGAATAATATTTTTCATCAAATGTTGTAATGTGGGAGCCTCCTTCGATGCTGCAAGTCCCTGGACATGACTGGGTGACACAAGTCCATTCACCCCCAGCACAAGTACTGAAATGAAGAAGGCATTCTGTAACCTTGGTAGTGCATGTATAAATGAAATTAGACATAAGGGCACCTTTATTTTCATGAATCATTGCTGATCATGCTGCCTTCTGGAGAAAAGAATATTTACAAAGAAACCATATTTCTTTGAGATCTCAAAATAAGTATCATTAATATAAATCACCTATCATTTATAGATATCATATATATATATATAAGTATAAATATCATTTATATCATTTATATTAATGATATTTTTAACATAATGTTTTTTATTTCCAGTTGTTGGACAGAATTAAATTCCTTTGAACCTGGCATTCATTTTGTTACACAATGCTGTGACGGATGTGACATGGTAATCACATCTCTACATGGCTTTTCAGCCTCCGCAATTTGAGTTTGATTGTTCCATATAAATGGTTAGTCTTGACATCAGAACACCTATATCTAAACTTAAAATTGTGCTTCTGAGTCTAAAGAGAAAACAGATTTGAAAATCCTCTTAAAAAGTTATCAAGGAACTTCAGTTAATAAGTAGTTCTTTTTTTTTTCAAGGAGCAATTTTTCCCTGTCTCCAAAACATATAGGTAACACCCCTAAAAAAAAAAAAAAAAGTATGAGAAAGGGGCTATGTTACCATGATCTGCATTTAGATGAGAAGGAGGTACCAGGAGCATAAGTTTCGCCTTCATAGGTACAATGGCATTCCTTACGGGGAATACAGCCAGCACCATTAATGTCGTCAAATACCATTCCTAGGGAAAGAAACAGTCTGTTAGTCATTCTGTGCACTACAGAATTTGCTTTTGTCTACATATCTGCCAGATGTATGAAGTGTTTTGCATTTCTCCTGCATGTGGAAAATGTAAAGGTCCTTAAAATAATAGAATGCCAGCTATAGAGGGAATGAAGACGCTATATTTCATTGAAGCCTATCTGAAATCCTAGGATGTTCATAAGTAACTTTTAAGTAAAGTCCTTTCCGTTATAGGCTTCATTAGATTGGAATTAGGATTAAAACTATTAGAGAGTAAGATGGAATAGATGTACCATTTATAAGATTGCCTAGGGATATATTTGGCTAGATATATATTTGCTGTACAAAGTCAGAGAATTATTTAAGAGGCGTCAGTGTTATTGTATAAACAAGTGATGGTGAATTCTGTCAGACATCACTGAAAATGTGCAAAGATCTACAATGGAGAAGATGTCCATCACTCAGAATGCCAACAATTCTCAGGCAGAGAAGCCAACACAAGGAAAGTAAATACATTTGTTGTGTATGGTACTCTGGGTAACCACACCTAGCTTTGCTAACAGTAGGAGTTACCACTGTGGACAGAGTGTAATTAAACATTCTGTGTGTTCAGTTAACTGCATGTGGATGCTGAGAATGTTCTCTTATCATTAGTAGTAAAGTATCTTATACACAATTGAGTCATTATATACATGTCTTAGGACCATTTGGTGTTTGAAAGGTGTTTTTATAACCAGGGTAGATGTATGTATATCAAGGAAGATAACAACAACAATGACATAGCATGAATAGATAAAGAAGGCTTTAATGCTTTTGGCTATGAATGAAGGGTATGAAGTAACTTGCCTGAAGGACAGGTACAGCCATCTGTACAATGATCTTCACAAAGTGCAGATCGTTCGGGGTTGCTGCAGGTGTCGGAGCAGGGGGAGCCACACTCCTGGTGTTGCATGTTGAAAGGACATGACTTGGCTGAAAATAGAAAGAGTAGTGTGATGCTGGCTTTTCCTTTGAAATGTTGAGAAAGAGTATTTAATATCTCTGTTTTCTGTCAAGATATAATGGACAATATCCGAGTGTAGGTTGCAACATTTTAGACCTTCTGATATATATCGAAAATGGTAATGTAAAATCCTCTAAACCTTCATATCCATGAAATCTTGAGTGTACTCAAGTGTAAGCTGATTTCATGAAACTTATATATACCTTTAAATGATAAATATACCTTTAAATATGTACCTGTCTTCTTCAGGAAGAAAAATTAGATATTATAAGCTCACTGTATATAAGGAGGCAGCGTAAGTAGAAGTCTTTTCCAGAGATACTTACGACATAATTCTGAGGTTCTCCAGTTCAGAGGCTGTCCACCTGCATGAGCACACTGCCGGGAGTATTCAGCAAAGGTGTTGCACATACAGAAGTCTGCCATAGAAGTATCACAGTGGCATAGGTCTTGTATGCAAGTTTCAATGTAGTCCTGAACATCCACAAGAGCATTACAGCTTGTGAATGCTTCACTGGTTAATACTGTCTTGCAGATAGAAGCCTGGAAAGGAAAACAATGAAATAGTGTTTAGAAAACATGGAAATAGTTATTTCATTTCAGGAATGAAGCAAAACAAATCAAAAGTTCATCTAGTCCAAAACCCTGTCCAACAGTAGCCATAGGCAAATGTTTAGGGAAAGATCTATTTAGAAGCTTAGAAAAACATATTATCACAATAGGACTCATGGGACTCCCTTGATGGTTCCCATATGTTGAGTTACTTTCTCAGGTGACTCTGCAAGCATTGTATTGTTTCCTTGTGTTTAGACATCTTTGGTAAATTCCTTTTCATTTTAAAATGTCCAGTCTTCTCTTGAACTCATGTAATTTTTATTTTCTTTTGCATTCATGTTAGCGAAGAATACTAAATTTGGGAATCTTTTTTTTTTCCAGACCCACGTCTGGCCATATTCATGCTGTATTTTTACATATCTTAGCAGATATTCTCCAAACAAAGGGAAGAAAGGATAGTGTATGTTACTCTGAAAAAAAATAAATCTGAAAGAGAGGTTCTTACAAATTCAGATGAGCAGTTCATCAGAACAGTGGAAGGAATAGGATCATCACACTGCTCTGTGGGTCCATCTATCTTCTGCCTATTCCCAAACTGTAGAGCAGTCAGTTTTGCATCTGTATAAAGTAGACAAAATATTAGAATGATATTTACTGCTTTGCTAGCTTCTGCATGGAGGTGTTTTCTTTTGAGATACTACCCATTGAAAACAGTGATTACCAAATAATATTACTATAGTGATAGACAAAAGGAAGTAAAGAAGGTTTGGAGCCTAACTGAAAAAAAGTAGAAGGTTACATTATTTTAAAAGATCTAACAGTGGTCGAAACACCTAAATACATCTGAAAGCTGCAATGCTATTACGTGTTAAAACTGACATCATAAAAATACCGACTGGAAGATGTATCATTAATTTGGGAGTTACTATAACCCACATCCTATGCTGCTAAAATGAGGAAAAAAAGTGCCAAGGTGTAATAATGGTTTTTATTACTTTGTGAAATAAACTCGTTGTTAGTTGGGATTCCATTGAAGTCCCCACAGAGTCCACAGGTTTGGTTGGCGTATTTCTTATCTAGTTCCACCTAAAAGGAATGAGGAAAGCAAGTTTAGGTTCACAGTAACGTCAACCCTGATGGTTAGAAACACTGTCCTTATGTAGTTAAAATTTGACGTGGGTGTGCTGGTGCAGACTGTAAGATGTGGAAGGTCAATGACCACCATGAAAAGCTTCATCTTAGTCCAGCCCTTGGACTGTGAACATCTGAGTATTTCACTGTGATGTGCAAGCACTGTAATTTGGGTTTATATTATTCTCAGTGGGAAAAAAAGTAAAACCAAGAAAAGGCTGGAATATAGATTTGTATCTATACTAAACATAGATACAAATCCATAAAGTATTAATGTCTGCTTGACTATTTAAGATTGCAAAAATTTAAATGGACTTTCTTCTAATTATAGGCTTTCTGTCACATTTTGGATATTTTCTTACCAGGAGGGCATCCTCTTCATTCCAGAGAAAGATCAGTCCTAACTTGGCAGAAACTTTCAAATAGTTGTTGCTTCTCTCTATCATGATTCCCATATGGCTATAGGGCATCTGAATCCTGGGAAAAGATCACCATAATTCAGTGGGAGCAGGGACAGAATATCCATTGAGCAAATTGATACCAATTCCTACTCTTTGAGAAGCTACTGTGCACAAAGATGAGGAAATTAGCCAGAGCAATAAATACAGACAGCTCAAATTTGTTAACGTTTGGCTATTTTGATTGTTTCTTTGTCCACAATGGATCAGCCTTACTTTCCCTGCTTTTCCTTTTGCTTATTTCTGTTAAAGTTAAAATGTCGGCATGTCTTCAGTTACACAGATCAAAAAAAGTGCTGGGATATTCTGTTTTGCAGGCAGTATGCTTCAAAATATTGCTGAATACTCCTTTAAGCCCTTGATAATGAGGGGATAGACTCTTTAGGCTTTCTGTGACATGAGTGCCGCTTGTAAACTGTATCCAAAATAACCTTTAGTCTAGCTTGCTGTAAGTAGTTGCCATAATACACAGATCACTGTGAGATAGCTGTCCAAATATTTACTCAAACATTTGGACAGGTTTCACACTTTTTGCCAAAGTCAGTGCTACCATTTCTTCAAGAGTAGGAGGTTCCCAGATTAGCTTATTTAAAATAAGCTCAGGTGCAATCTGTAGTTGAAGTGCAAGTACAGGAACAATAAGAAATTCCTCATGGGGCTCCTGTCTGGTAAAATTAATGACAGGTAGAAACTTACAGGGTGGAAAGGCCAATACTTTGGCTGAATCCAGCTTATACAATCAACTGCATATATAGACAATTGTTGCAATGGGGCTGCATCTGGGATATAGCTCCTCTGAACAAAATGCACACAAGGATAATCTGCAGAAGTTGCATGTTGCTCACTGTCAGGCACTCTAATTTTTGTTGTTGCCTCAAGAAGGACCAGAGCCCTTCAGCTGGTTGGGAGCAGTATCAGATCAGATGAAGAAAAGGGATACTTGCTCAAAGAGCCTTCAGGGAGTGATAGCAGTCCCGACAATTTCAGTTCATAGTAGAAGATGTGAACGTACTGTTTGCCATTGACCAGGACAGAGGTGCGTGTCAATTCAACCACTGCTCCTTCCAGCCTCATGATGACGTGAGTGATCACGGTAGCATTTTCCCCAGTGGTGCGCCTAATCTGGATATTGAAGTCCTCATAGGGAGATTTGCAGTTGGATGTAAAGATGTAATTGCAGACCCCAGGGAAGTAAAAGATGTCCCCATCAAAGTTCTTGAAGTGGAAGTTACCCCATGTACTGCATACACGGCCATTGTGAGAGGGGTTGCCAGCTGCGGATTCAAAATGAGCCATCAGAATTTTCTGCAATTAGCTGTAGATACCCTCCATTTAGTTCCTTTGGTGAGATATCTCCCAATGTTTTGAACACATTTAACTTACTTAATGGAAACAGTCAGTGTGATTTATCCCAGTATTTCATATATAGTATTTTTCCCCAGTTTCATCGTATTAACAAAATATAGGCTGGAGATCATGCTGCTTGTAGAATATCCCTATTACTTGATTAATTGATTATTTTTCTGTTTGTTTTTTTTTTATTTTATGAGGCTGAAGGATCTTATAAAATTTGTGAATCTATTTAGTTCAATCCAGGTTTTGTGTGGTACAAATACACACATATCTGAGCCATGACATTTATTGCACTCACCCTTTACTTTCAGTGTGTTTGGAGGAGGTGGGATGAACGTCAGTCCATGGGATTTGGAAACTGGTGAAAGATCTAAGACAAAAAAAAAAAAGCTCAAGTTTAATCTCATGAGAAATCCTGAAAAATGGCTAGAGATTGCTTAAGTTTCTTTAGTAATATAACATTTCCTGCTACTAGTTACACCCTAGTGAGAATTTCCGCAAGTCTTTATTGTTGCTTTCCATTTTCCATGCAATGCTCTGTATTCTATCTTTCCATGTGTTTCACTAGCATCCAAATCTCAAAGAGATTGGCTGTAGTTTTTATTTGCATTATATGTTCAAGACTCCCATCTGATGCTGGCCTTGCTAATCTGAGCTCAAAAGCAGCAATGTAATCCTTAGATTGCTGTGTTGTAACGGTAGTGGACAAAAAGCCACGCTAATGTCTGTATCTCAGTCTTCGCCTCTCAGTACGTTTAGAAGCAGAAGGCTACTGAAGAATCTTAGAGGATGAAAAACAGCAGTTATTTTTTTTTGAACCTAGTCTCTTTTTTCTGGTGAGAATGGAACTCTACACAACCAGCTGTGAGTAGCCATTGTTTGTTTGCTTTCCCTAAAAGTAAAGCTGTTTAAATTCTGTAAAGCTTTGATCATTTTCTTCATGCAAAGACTTCTGTTCATAGGATCTTGCCTTAAATCTTCTATGTCCAAATCCTATGTTTTCCCTATAGCTCTAGCTATGAAGGGGATAGAATACTTAGAGAATCTACTATATATTTTCTTTACATCAGAGTTTGAGGATTAGCTGCAGTTTCTCCTTGGACAGTATAAAATTGTAGAACACAATGACTTTCAAATTGTAGGCTGTGGAATATTAGCAACTGACTTATGTGTTTAGACTAAAACAACACTAGGACAAATCCATAATTTTAGAAAGGCAGTTTGGTTAAGTCTTGATGTAAGGATTTTAAGAAAAAGCAGATATACTACCTTATTTGATAATCTATTCCAATAACTGAATGCACTCATGAAATAATTTGAAATATACTTCCAGTTTGTTTTTAGTACTTTTTTAATTCCCAGCTAGAGACTTCGCAATTGCCGATAGCAGTGCAGGCTAAATGGTTAATTATCACAACATGTCATCACCAATACACCAGTTGGCATTTTATCTTTTCACCCTTGTTTTGCTGTGTATTGTTACTGTGTTCCAGTATGTGTCATAAAACCATTTCACATACATGATGATTTAGTGCTTAATCATTGTAATCTTTAAGGTAGTTACAGTTCTGTTATTCTCACTTGTAAGTGATGCGATCATATTGACACAGCATAAAAAATGTATTTTTTATTGCCTTCTATCAAATACCTTGGTGATATGTATGTATACACACCCCCTTTTGAAAATACGCTTTTTGATAGAAAGTATGTACCTTTCATGAAGTTTAAGATTAGATAACTGTAGCACGTCAGTTGACCAGATATACTAGGCTAGATCTCAGAAGAAGTTAGTTCTCCCAAGAATTGCTGGGACTTAGATATTTTGTAGACAGATTTCTCTCTCTCTCTCTCTTTCTCTCTCTCCATTTGATTTATTTATTTATGTTTGCTCATTTATTTGTAGAGGGAAAGTAGGTTTAAGCCATTCTAGTCCCAGTCTATGAATCTGGAATTTTATCAGTTTAACTTGGGATAAAATATTAGAAATATGTCAGCATAAAAGTACTTACTATTTTGTTGCTGCAGGAATAATGGAGAGTCATAGTTCGATTGTGATTGTTGCTCATTGCCCTGAGCTTGAACTGCACCAAGGAGAGTGAAAAAGGAAAGAGTTAATGTTTAATTTACATGAGTTTCTTCATTATTTTCTTTCAATTACATTTATTTAAACTTGCAGTTTATGCATGTAAAAATTGGCAAAGCTATGTTTGTGTGCCAGACTTACATTAGGACCTGTGCTCCATGCAACCGTGGTGGCCCTATACCCCTCCCTGAAATATTTTTTTCTGCAGGCTAATGAAGTACTACTGCAAGGAAGCTATCAAAAATGTGCTAGTGAGAATTTGAGCAGACTCTTATTCTATTAATTGTTGTAATATCACCCCAATACTTGGTTATATTTTTCAGATAAATGACTTAATTTTCTATTTTATGATTATTGTGTCCTTTAGTCATAAGTAAAAGCCTTTGTCTATCTAAAGGGCTTTAAAAATAGTTCAATTTGTTACAGGACATTTTTGAAGTGGAAGAGCAATCTCTATCTTCTTTTACTGAAAGCCAAAGTTACTATTTATTTTACTGTTCCAAGCACTTTTTATAATAAGCAGCAAAAGAAAAATAAACCCACAAGCCACACAGAAAGAAATAGGCCCCCAAACAGAGCTTTCTCTTTTCAGCTGTGAAGCTGCTTTTTAATCCATGCCCCTTCAGCTTCAAAGGGGCATACACACAAAATCTGTAGGGCCCAAGAGGCATTTTAACTTGTTGAGAGTTTGTACAAGGCAGGTTGCAGGGGAGGCCATGGCAGCTGGAGAAAAACTACAAAGGCAGGCCAGGCCAACTGTTTTCTGTGTCTCACAGCAGGGCAGTCCATGGGTAGCACCACTAGAGGGGCTAATACTGAAATTAGAGCTGAAGGGAGCTCCATAAATTCTTTCCTTCTTGCATCAGCTGGGAATTTGCAGCTAGGGTTGGAAGGATGTGTTGTACCCCTTTTGCAGATGTGAACCAGTCAGTGCTTTTGGGTTCCTCCCCTCCATTCCATATCCTTAGTGTGCTTTTTCTTCTTTTTCCATGCCTGCTATGGCTCCAACACTCTGCCTAGTGCCACATGCTTCCCAGTTTCCCATTTCCATTGCACTGTATGGTAATACTACAGCTAGGCTTCTGATGGGCTATTCTTAGACAGCACTACTTTTTAACAGAAATTAGTGTGGAATTATCTGGTGCTAGAAAAATATAAAGTAGTTCACTAGGATTTGCATCGGAAACTAAAACACACTAAAAACTAACACTGTTGTCACCTTAATCTTTAAAGGAAATTAACAGAGGAATATGAATAAAAAAGATTTCTACCCATTTGTGAGTATGAAGTGTTTTTTTGTAATATTTAAGGCAAATCTATTTGTTTTTGTACCCTGAAAAAAACAAACATTTGCTCTAAGCTTTTGTACAATCTCATGCTTATGGATAAATGACATTTAAAATGTAATGTACAACATTTTTCAAGAAAAATCTCTACCGTATTGTTAGCTGATAAAACAACAAAGAAGTATTTCATAATGCAAACAGATTCCACTAGTTTCTTCTTTCTTAAATGTGTTTTTGCACCTTTTGGTTTGTGCATTCCTAAAAGAAGTAGTTTCAAAAGCTCACATCAGAAGTTAAATGCCAGTCTTGAGGTACAGTGGTAGAAATATGAATTACTGCAGATTTCAAATGCAGAAAATGTGTTAAGAACATGAACTAGAATATGAAAATTGAAGACTCTTAATTTCCTCTTTTTAGGAAGGAAAGTATTTGTAACTGAGAAGAAAATTTTGCGTAAAGGTATACATTAGCTCCGCAAAGCCAAAAAAAGGTTTCAAACTCTGAAGCAGGTCATAAATTCTTTAAAACTGTAAAAATCCCAAGCAAGTAAATCCTCCTACCTTTGATCTGTACGTAGGCAAGTGCTAGTATTGATATCCATAGTGGTATTTGTGTCCCACTACCTGTGCCCATCTTCTGGAAGTCCGGTAGAAACTACCGAACAACCTGCCTCTGAGAAAGTACTGGTCTGCTCCTGAGTTTTATATAGTGAGAGAGCAAGTTTTGGCTCAGCTCCCAGATTGCTTCACAAGGTCCTTAAAAGGTGGGGCTTCAGACGTTTTACTTTTCCTTTGCAGGTGCACAGGTAAATAGAGGATGCTCTGACTTCCCTATGGTATTTGCACTCTAGGAGGAGTCTTCTTTCTACAAGTCTTGCAGATGAAATGTCAAGAGGTGAACAGGAAAAATTTTTGCACAGACTTAGTCCTACGAAATTGTTAATATTGTAAGATAAATGTAATTTAATGAATTTCCGAGTGACATTTGAGCAGGACCTTGGAATGAATAACTCCACAGTTTTATAATTTTCTTCCTCATATTTAAAGATTCCAGCTTCTCAAAAAAGTCAAGTCCGATCTGACACAAATTTTTAATGAGTTTGCACCTGTGCATGTAGTTACTTTGCTTGTGAAAAAGAAATTTCAAAAGCCATCTAAGGTCAGCATTTATCCACAGGTCTACATAATGAAAATCCTTCAGCTTTGGACAGTTAATAGTATGAATCCTTTCTTGAATATTCCTTCTTCTCACATATGCAATTTTATTGCTAGTTCAGCAGTTTCTCCTCTTTATAAACATGATCTCAATCTCATAATAAATGAGATCAAATTTTAGAGTTAAAAATATATATTCATTTAACAATCAAAATAGATGTATTATTGATTATTGCTTTACCTAGAGGCACAAGAAGACTAATTTACAGGAATATCCTTTGTAATGTAGTGTTTTAAGAACAATGAGAGAACGAACAAAGTTTTGTGAATGTGTTAAAATATGATTTTAAAGATATATTACAATAGTGAGCTAACTTTTTAGAATGTTTTTCCCTGGGCTGTGGATAAACAGTTTTTCAGAAGGGGAATAGACTGAACAGTTCCTGTAAAGAAGAAAGTACTAAGATGTTTCCCATATTCACTGAGAACAGGACAAGATGTAATGAGGTAAAAAAGCCAGGAGTGGCTTTTGGGTTAGACAATGGGAAATACAAATTCTTTTTACGCGTGTGGTGAAGCACATGTTTGAGAGGTTGTTTGAGAAGGCTGTTGGATTTCCATCACTCATGTTGTTTAAGAGCAGGTTAGACTGACACCTGCCTGAGGATGGTGTCAGTGTAGCTCATAGTGTGCTGGGGCAGGGGAATGGGCAGAATGGCCATTTTAGATTCCTTTTAACCCACTTTTTTTCTGGAAAAATAATAAAAAAAAATTACTGTATTCTCTCTTTAGGAGCAGTTATATTTGAGTAATGAACTTAATAATTAAGAAGGGAGAATTAAAAGGCACTTTTTTCTTTTTTGTCATAGCAAGAAATGATCCTATTTTTATCAAATATTTTAAAATTACAAATAAAAGTAACATAACTAAATAAAGTTGGAAGTGTTGAAAAGAATTGGTCACTTTCAGTCATTAGTGGCAATTTCAGTGACATACACATCATCATAGAATTAACCTTAGTATTATCTGAATGAGGAAAAGATGGCTACAAAATACTTGCACGTTTGGAAATATATGCAGTTCAATATTAAGGGAAATGTTACCATCTCAATTATTATGAAGATAACCAAGATGAATAATTGAAAAACAAAAATTTTAACGGAGGTAGCTGGTGTGTATTTGAAGTCATGATGAAAGGAAAAAATAAGGTAAACTCATCTGGCTAACAAACGTAAGCTTATTAAGTGATTCTGATGAAGTAACACATCATAGTGAGAGGGAAAATATACTTTATGAATCATTACGTTGCTACTACTGAAAAATCAATTAATATCAACAGTTGCTATGCTGTGGTTTTAAATACGCAGGATAACATTTCCTGCATGTTTGGAGAAGTGTTATGACCTCTCCGAAGCCCCAGATTTGTCACTACTGATTATTCCCTTTGTAAACTATCATAAATAAGGCCTAAATAGATTTATACTTAAATTTAATTAATTTGACCTTTAAGACACCATCAGCAGCATTTGCATATATCTGCATTTTTTGATACAGATCACGTTATTCCTACTCTCCTAAATGATTACTTCTTGCCAAGTTAACTTTCATTATCTGGTACTGAGACTTTTCAGAAATTATAATGAAATGTATCAAAATATATGAGACTTGTGAAAATAATTTCCAAATACTTATGATAAATTAATTTAGTAATATTACTAATTATTCAAAGGAATACTTCCTCTTGAAGTTGCATTTCACCTCCATTCATTCAATAGACTTACACAGCCAACATGGAAGAGTATTTTTTAATTCCTCCTGTTCAAGAAAACAGAAAATACTTAGACACTGTATACTTCGAATAGATCTCTGCTCATAAAGTAAGTAAACATCGTTTCCTGGGAGAGATCTGAAATGCCGTGACTGATGTTGGCTAGGTCAAGTGAACAATAATGTAAGCATTAGCACAATAATGTGACTTTACCACAAGTTCCCAGAGTAACCTTGCTAGTAACTTGTAGCAGTGTTTTTCTTGTCATGCGGCATTCAGAGGTGGAAGGGCACTGTTTTAGCCCATTCCTTTCTTCACAGCTTTTCCATAAATCCAGGTTGTCACTCCCAGGATTTTTGCATATAGAATAACCCTACTAGTGACTGGCTGCTTCTGCCAGCTAGTTCTTCAGATCAGCTCTACTTTGCATTAATACTGCTCTTCAATCTTCCTTACTTCTTCTTCTAGTATCCTTTATGTTCTTCTTGACATACCTACTCTCCTAACTTTTGCTTTCACCAAATTTGTCCTGTTTTTTTTGTCTCCTACAATGCATGGAAAATGGAGAGAGATGTCATTCAGGAAGGAGCCTGGGGGAGGTTCCGATTGGACATTATGAAAAACTTATTTGCGGTGTAGAAAACAGTTTAATTTTTGTGTTTCTTGCTCACAGTTATGACATGCTAATAGGCATGATGAAATTCAAAAATGCTTCTTTAAAACAGGAAGAGAGGAAAAAAAAGTTATTTTCTGCAAAGACAAATCACTTAGTGCCTTTTGTGTGCTGTTATCTGAAATCAAGCCCCATTTATCCACTTGGTTAGTTCTTCGAATCCACCATGCTGTTCAGTGCCCATGATTTTTTATGGAAGTGTTTCCATGAAGGGGTCCAGAATGCAGTTTTTAATATGGACATTTTTAATGTTACTTACTGTCTGTCCAGAAGTATAGGAGATAAGAGTACGTGAGCAACATTGTTCTTTGAGATTTATGTAGCTGTGATCTGCAATTGCAATTAGTCAAAATCAGAAAATATGAGAATTTCGACTTAGCCCAACAGGTTCTTCTCTGTTGGGCAGATGATCTGTGATCTAGTATTAAGTTTTCTGATAAAATATGTTATATATTGGCATATGGCTTTTCCAGGAGACTCTTACAAAGCCGAACCTCTGTGATTTCCACTTCCTGGTTAATGAACAGCAATGCTGTATTTTATTTATGCCTACTTAGTACTGGACCAGATCTTGATTACTGGTTCCTATTCACACACTTCTCTGGTAACAGAATGACCGATTTCCTCAAATAAGTCTCTATAGTGCTATCGCTCTAGCAACTGACTTCTTCACAAATTGTTATTACTGAGTGTACTTTTACAAAATTCTGGTAAATGAAGAAATGCAACTGAAGTATGGTCAGTAGTACTACTAGGTTTGGGTGCAGATGATGAAGGCAATATCTTTTTTCAGAGTGTTTGGCATTACATACCATGTAGCATGGCTCACATTGGTTTTGGCAGTAGCTGAATGCTCAGCATTTCTGCACATTCTGTGTCAGTGTTTCAAACTAATCACCCAGAAAATGAAGAAAGTACAATTAAGAATCATGACTATAATTTGATACAAATCTTTTGCTGATATCACAAATGAAGTTTATGGCACTCAAGCAGCCTGATGTTGTTCTTGCTCTTTTCAGCATTTCCCTCATTCGGTCACTTTGATTTTAAGTTCTGCAACAAGGAAACAAAGCAGGAAATCTTTCAAACTATATTCTTCTATACTTAAGTTTAATTCTTTACCAAAAAATCCCTACACTTCACTGAGTAATAGAAGGGGTTGTAGAAAAAACAATGTGCATCCTGCATCAAGAGGAGTATGAAAACAAATGACGGTAAGGTTGTCATGTCATCTGCAAACATCCAGGATATCTGTGTTTATAGAGGGGATCAACACTTAATCCTCTTTACAGCTTGTAAACACAAATATTACAACTGTGCATACTGATATTTGCAATTGATTTTATAGACTAGAATCTGTGTGTGTACACAAATGCTTGAGGACAGGTTTACATTGTGCAGTAGTGCGTGTTGCAGACATCCTACTGCTAACAACAGCCAAGATAAATTTATAGTACTAAATAGTACTATATAGTACTAGTACTAAATAGTACTAAATAGGGGCATGAAGTTGCACTAAGTGATTTTGCCTTTCTCTGAGGCACTGACACTGCAGCATTGTGCTTGGGATCTGAGCTGATATCTCTAAACAGGACTATATGCTTGTAGTGACAGTGTTTTCACCACTGAAAGCTGGATGACTCTGCTGTGTCCAAAAAAGAAAGTGTCCAAAAAATCAGTCTTTTAAAGTAGGTGGTAATGTTTACAGTTTCAGTAGAAATAGAGAAATAAGAAGAATGAATAATAGAAATGTAAGTTGGTGAAAGGGATGGCTGAGTTGAGCAGCACAAAACCCTGGAAGAAGCAGTAGAGATGCACAGCCTCGAAAAGGTCTGTATATTGGAACTGGTGGACATCATTCTGATATGTTTGTAATACTAGAAGGAAAACACTATGTAAAAACTTGATATATAAATTTATATGTATTACCACTGTATGTACTTACATATACATTATCTGTATTGATACAATGGATTATCCAACTGCTTCCCAAGATGCCAAGGTTTCCCTCTTCTTTTGAATTATTTCAATTTCATACCTTCTATAATACACCTGTTCTTTTGCACTCATAAAAGTTCCTTT